AACAAATGATCCTACTCACCAGTGAGTGAGTGGAGCATTGTTGCATGGCCCTGGAAGCCGCTGGCTGCTGCACATGCTTGCAGCATGTGAGAGCGTGGGACATCGGCAAGGCATGTGGGGCATCTGTAGAGCTTGACACTGCTTGCATGTATATGCTCTGTTTCAGCTGTTTTATTGCAGCTGTTTTAATAATAATGAACATTACAGTGTACCCTTTTGAGTCGCCTCAAAAACCTTGCCGCATGGACCCCACGCTCATCTTCTTCTCATCTGCCCATCTGCCATTGCGTTGCGTGTGTCCCCCCGACGCATTGCCACAAACTGTTGTGCTGCAGAGTTGTGAACAACGCAAACCTCAAGGGCTCGCTTCCTTCCGATCTCGCCTCGCTCACAGCTCTCACCAACATGTGAGTTGCCTTTTCCATGCTGCGCCAGTTTTGAGGCGCCTCAAAAACGCTTTTGAGGCGACTTTTGAGGCGGCTTCTGAGGCGGCTTTTGAGGGCGGCTTTTGAGGCGACTTTTGAGGCGCCTCAAAAGTTGCATGTGAGTCGCCTTTGCCATGCTGCACCAGTCTCTATCCGTTTTACTATCACAGCTTCTGCTTCCATCTGCAGGACTGGCTGCTCCTGCTTCTTTCCTATTGCAGGTGCTGCTGATCCATCCGTATATCATGCAGTAAATAAATGCCCATGATTCGTACAACTATGTGCCTAGGCGAACCATGATGTGTGCAGTTTGCCTTCTTACAATGGCCTTGTACCCTTCCCACCCTGTTCTCCTACCGCACAGCTACCTCGTGCAAATCCATGATGACCTTCGTGTCCTTTCGCCCTGTTCTCCCGCCTCACCAGCAACCTAAAGCAAAACCTCCACTTCTACCGCCTCGATTCCTTCGCCACTCACCTTCGCAACTTGCCACTTATGGCTGACTTGTGAGAGCCTGAGTGTGTCCGGTTGGAGAGGGGAGGGCTGGCTGAGAGCAGGACTATGATCTTTTTGTCTTGGCTTGCCACAGCCTTGCTTCCATGACTCCCAATCTCCCAACCCCTTTCTGCTCTCATTGTGCTCATGCCTACACGATTTTTTTCCTCTTCGAGGCGCCACAGTCGCCATGCATGCATGCGCCTCATGCTTTTTACATGCCGCCACCACTTATCGTCTCGCATGTGCCGGCACCACTCATCTCGTTGTCTCTTTGCTTCTCTCGCAGCCGCCTGCACTACAACTACCTTTACGGTGAAATCCCCGCGTATCTAGTGGGCCTCCCGAAGCTCACCCAGTTGTAAGTCTGCTGGAAATGCATAATAGTCAGCTGTACACATGTTGGCGAAAACATGCAGGGATGGTAGTGTGCTGCTGGGATGCAGGTCACTTGTTAGTCTGTCGGGGAGGTCAGGATATCATGCACGTGTTGCTTCGTGTTGCGCTATGTTGCTTCGTGTTTTGCTGTGTTGCTTCGTGTTGCGCTATGTTGCTTCGTGTTGCGTTGAAACGAACAATCGCCTGCCTCGTCCTATTCTCTGCCTGCTCACTCCTTGTACTGCCCTTCGTCCCCCCCCTCTCGTTCCCCCTCCTTTGTTTCCCACCTCACTGCGCTGTTCTCTCCCTTCACCAGCGGCGCTCCCGGCAACTACCTCATAGGAACCGTGCCGCCGCTCGGCCCTCTACTGCTCGTATTGGACCTCAACTTCAACTTTATCTCCGACCTCCCATCCGCGGCCTACACGTGGTGCGGAGGCAATCTCAACTGCCTCGTCACGCCCTCCAAGTGCAACCACCGGCGGCACGGTTCAGCGGGTTGCGGCAGATTGTGCCTTCTGCGGCACCACCAACGGCGCACCTCCGTTCTGCTGGGGAGCGGGAGGGGTGTGCACGCCTGACGCGGCCGCAGCCGTGGCTGCCGGTACTATGAACCCGAATTCGCAGCCCGCGCTCCCCAGGGCGTGCGTGGGCGGGCCGGTTGTGGCCTTGAAAGACACCACAGGTGGGCAGGGGGCAGGGGGCAGGGGGCAGGGGGGAGCGGGCAGGGGGCAGGGGGCAGGGGACAGGGAGGAGGTGGCGTGGCATGGGCTGTGCACTGTGCATGGCTGGCTGTTGACCGCATTGTATGCCTGTCAGTGAGTGCCACGTTTTGTTGCTGGGAGGGCAGGTCAGCACCAGATGTCTGCAAGCACAACAGATGGGCATTGCGCGTCAGGCCTCATTGGGGATGTGTGATGCGATGGCCGAGTGCCGTTGCCTTGCCGCATAAAAGCTGCCCGGAAAAGTGCCCACACCATAGGGCCCATGCAACCCCGTCCACTTGCTGACGTGCTCCTCGGGGCGTCCCCCAACCGCCTGCTTCCCGCCTTGCTGGCCCATCCCCTGCGTGCGCCTCATCCCTCCTCCATCCCCCGTGTGCCCCGCACCAGCCATGCTCGCCCTCAAGGCCTCGCTGGGTGTCACCCTCACCACGTGGGCGGCCACTGTGCCGTGCCAACTTGCGGGGCAGACCACCACGGCTGCAGTGTGGAGTGGCGTGCTGTGTGACAGCACTGGGAGGGTCGTGAGCATGTGAGTCGGCATATTGGGCATGTAAATCGCCATCGGGACTTCATTGATAATCAATTTATCAAACATGCCAGTGGTTCGTGCATGTCCTTGTGGCATGTGAATGAAAAGAGCCGGTGCATGAGCGATGCTGTGAGGGCATGTGAGACAGTGTGCCTGGTGAGTGGGTGCTTCCTTTTTTGAGGCGCCTAAACAATAGGCAGCGTGCCCAATGACTGGGTGCTTCCTTTGGCCACTGTGATGCTGCTTCCAGGCGTTGCCTGCCGTACCTGCATACCATATTCATCTGCTCACCCGCCCTTGGCACGTATCCTCCATTGCTCTGTCCTGCCACCAACCGTTGTGCACCTCAGGGCTGTGGCTAACTCGAAGCTCAAGGGATCACTTGCTTCGGACATCTCCACGCTCACAGCCCTCACTTACCTGTGAGTTGTGTCTTTTGAGTCGACTCAAAACACAGCACTCACTTACGTGTGAGTTGTGTCTTTTGTGTCTTACCTGCTCTGCCCTCTGGCTGTTTTGATCCTCTTTGTTTTCTGCTGTCGTATCCACTGCTTCATCTATCCTCTCTCAGCCACGTTCCAAATTCTCCACGACATTGCACCCCCTGCTCGCCCCTCTCCCCCACAGCAACCTGCAGGGCAATCTCCTCAGCTACCGCCTCGACTCCTTCACCACCAACCTCCGAGCCTTGCCAGTGCTGGCCGACATGTGAGTGCTGCTGGCCGACATGTGAGTGCTGGCCGACATATTTTCACGCTCTCACTTTTCTGGAAAAATCATGGAACCTTTTTTCCACATGCTGCCATCCCGTCGGGCCCTCATCGGTTCCCTTCTGCCCCTATTGCAGCCGCTTGCACTACAACTACTTGTACGGAGAAATCCCCTCCTTCCTTGTCGGCCTCCCGAAACTCACTCAATTGTAAGTCTGATAGGGAGATATATATTGGAGCGCTTTTGAGGAGTTTATATTTTAATTTATGTTTTAATAGCTTTAATTGTTTCCGAAACTCATTATTTGCAGCTGTTCCACTACTGGTGAAGGTGCAGTCCAGTCTGCCCATTTCTGATAAATTCCCGTTATGCATCTGCCCATTCCTGATAAATTCCCGTTATGCATCTGCCCATTCCTTATGAATTCCCGTAATGAATCTGCCCCTCCAATGCCCTTCCTTCTCCCCAGCGGTGCGGTCTACAACTACTTCACCGGTACCGTGCCAGCGCTCGCCTCTGGGCTGCCTCACTCTGGACCGTGCGCGGCAACTTCCTCACAGACGTGCCCACAGCCAGCTACACGTGGTGCGGGGGCGCGGGCAACTGCCTGCTGACGCCCTCCAAGTGCACCAGCGGAGGCTCCGCCCAGCGGCCTGCAGCGGATTGTGCCTTCTGCGGCACCACCAACGGCGTGGGGCCGTTCTGCTGGGCGGGGGCAGGGGGAGTGTGCGCGGTGGACGCGGCTGCACCCATCGCTGCCGGCACTGTTAACTCGCCGACGCAGCCCGTGCGGCCGATGGCGTGTGCGGGCGGCTCGGTGGTGGTCATCAAAGAAAGCACAGGTGAGCACTGAGTGGTGAGCGCTGTGCGGTGGGTGGAGAGAGGTGTGCGGTGGGTGGAGAGAGGTGTGCGGTGGGTGGAGAGAGGTGGGTGGTGGGTGGAGAGAGGTGGGTGGTGGGTGGGGAGAGGTGTCTGATGAGTGGTGAGCGGTGTCCGACGAGGGTGAGCGGTGGGCGGTGGGCGGTGGGTGGTGGGTAGGGAGAGGTGGGTGGTGGGTGGTGATCGGTTTCTGATGAGATGTGGGCGGTGGGAGCTGTGCGGTGGGTGGTGAGCAGTGTACTGCCACCTCATGCAGTACCTACCTACCTACCTACCTACCTACCTACCTACCTACCTACCTACCTACCTACCCTGCTGCCATGCCTGACCGCCTAATCTTCTCTTACCCGCGCGACTGCTGTCCTATCTGCCCGTCCCTCCCATGCACCGTCGCCACCAGCCATGCTGGCGCTCAAGTCGTCCCTGGGGGTGACGTTCAGCACGTGGGCGGCGTCGGTGCCGTGCAAGGTCAAGGGCCAAACAGCGCCCATCCCCACGTGGACCAGCGTGCTCTGTGACTCCGCCGGCAACGTCTTGAGCATGTGAGTATGGGGTAATGGGGCATGGGGTGTTGGGGGCATGGAGTTCTTCAGCTTACGAGCGTCGGTGACGTGCAAGGTCAAGGGCCAACGTCTTGAGCATGTGAGCGTGCATAGTTTAGTTCTGAGGCGCCTCAAAATTAGCATCGTCCACACCCACGTGGTCCAACTGGATGTGCTCTGTGACACGGCCGGCAATCGTGAGCATGTGAGTGTGCAGTGCAGTGCAGTGCAGTGCAGTGGTGACGCATTCAGTGGTGGGGCGTGAGTGGCAGCAGCGTCAGCTGAGCAGCCGGGGAGTGGCGGGGCGTCGGGGCGTTGTCGAGCCATGAGGGCACACAGGGCAGCAGGTCTGGAAGCATTTTGAGTATGTCGGGAATCGTTACAGGGTCGACCTTTCATGTGCACCACATGTCATGGGTTCCTTCCTGTGTGTAACATGCTTCTCACTCTACCCACCTGCCATTTTGTCATGGCAGCGAGATGACCAACAATGGGCTCACAGGAAGCATTCCTGCTGACATCTCCAAGCTCACAGGCCTCACCTTCCTGTGAGTGCACCGCATCCGTCACCTTCCTGTGAGTGCACCGCACCCGTCACCTTCCTGTGAGTGCACCCTCAGCAGTTTGTCATCTCTCCCTGCACCCGTGCACCAAGGCTCCTGTATTGTACAGCCTCCACCCCAATCGCCACCCTTTCTCTGCTCCTTACCTGTTATTGGCCAATCCGCCTCTCTTGTCTGTTCCCCCCCGCCTTGCTGTTTGCGCCCCTCGTCTTGCTGTGTGCGCCCCTCGCCTTGCTGTGTGCGCCTGTCGCCTTGTGTCTCACCCTCGCCTTGCTGTCTGTCTCACCCTCGCCTTACTGTCTGTCTCACCCTCGCCTTACTGTCTGGCCCCCCCTCGTCTGGCTCTGTGCGCCCCTGCAGGCATCTCATGAAGCAGCTATTCCAGGCACCGCTTGCTGGTTTCACCCGCCAACCTCCTTCCACTCACCACCACCTGCTGTCAACCAATCCGCCTCTCCTGTCTGTCAACCCCCCCATCTTTCTGTGTGCGCCCCTGCCTGGCTGTGTGTGTGCGCCCCTGCAGGCATCTCACGAAGCAGCTCTTCCAGGCGCCGCTGGCTGGTTTCACCGCCAACCTCCCTCCACTCACCGCTACCCTCAAGGAGCTGTGAGTCATGTTTGACACTTGTAAAAACTCTCCAGCCTTAGTGAGTTGTAAAACGCAGCAGCCTCAAGGACACGGGTCTGTGCTTTCCGTCGCTGCCTGTGAAACTCTTTAGCCTTAGTGTGCTTCTCCACTCTGCCTCCGTTGCTTTGCTCCCTCGGTCTCCCGCCTTCCCATCCTCCGTTCTGCCACCTTGCCCTCTCTCTCTCTGCTGTCCCCTTGGGTCCATTCTGCCCTTGTCGTCTAGCCCACCTCGCACACGTCCCTCTCCTCCCGTACTGCCTCGTGTCATCTCTTCACTGCCGTTTTCCCACTTTCCCTCCCTCCCCTGCAGCTATATGCAGCACAACTGGTTCTACTGCCTTTTGCCCACCCCTCATTGCCCTTCCCTCCCTCCCCCCTCCCCCGCCCTCCTCCGCACAGCTTCCTGCAGTACAACTGGTTCTATGGCTCCATGCCCGCCGCACTCCTCAACATGCAATCGCTCAGTGTGCTGTGAGCCCGCACACACACATTCCTCACTCGCTCTCGCACTCAGCTGCCCACCCACGCCGCATCACAACTCGCTTCTCCCGTCTCTGCCACATTTCCTCACATTCGCACACACATCTGCCCACTCTAGCCTCATCTCTTCCCATCTCAACTCCTCGGATCCACAATCCCGCTCCGCATCCCGCCTCCTGCAGTGGAGTGGGCTACAACTACCTCACTGGAAGCTTCCCAGCTTCGCCCACTCTGAAAACCCTGGACGTGCGCGGAAACTTCTTCTACACCATGGGAAGCATGACTCTCAGCTGGTGCGACGGCCACACCAACTGCTTCACCACTCCCTCTGTCTGCGGCATGGGAGGCACCACACAGCGCCCCGCAGCAGACTGTGCCATCTGCGGCTCAACCAACGCGCAGCCGCCCTTCTGTGGCGGCACCGGCACGTGCGCGCCTGACTCTGCGGCTGCGGCCGCGCTGGGCACGCCTAATGCTATGGGCTCGGCCACACTGCCCCTGGTGTGCGGTGGTGTCCCCATCGACGCTGCTGATGGTGAGCGCATTCAAAAAGCAGGCGTCCACATGCCCACAGGCACCCGTGCATCCACAGGCACCTGCACACCTGCAGCCACCCGTGCATCCACAGGCACCTGCACACTTACAGCCACCCATGCATCCACAGGCACCTGCACACCTACAGCCACCCGTGCATCCACAGGCACCTGCACACCTACAGCCACCCATGCATCCACAGGCACCTGCACACCTACAGCCACCCGTGCATCCACAGGCACCTGCACACCTACAGCCACCCGTGCATCCACAGCTAACCATGCACAGGCCCTTGCCTCTCGCATGCACTCTACTTAGGCCCTGTTAGCCTCTGACCACCCGCTCTCATGTATTTTTAACCCCATGCCTGTGTCAACGTTTAAAACCTGCCTTCCCCCTTCCCCACCTGTCAGCCCTTTTTGCCCCACCAGCTTTGGTGCTCCTGGCGCTCAAGTCGTCGCTGGGCATGACGATGTGAATCCCTAGACTCAGTTCTTCCCCCTTCCGTATCTCTCTCCCCCCCTCCCCCACCAGCTACGGTGCTGCTGGCGCTCAAGTCGTCGCTGGGCGTGACGCTGAGCAACTGGAATGCGGCAGCGCTGTGCACGCTGGAGGGGCAGACGCTCCTGCCCGCGCAGTGGGGCGGCGTGCGCTGCACCGCTGCCGGCAAAGTCACGAGCGTGTGAGTGCGGGGATGGCTGGTGAGGGGCGCAGGAGCATGCGAGTGCGGGGATGAGTTGGGGCTGTGAGGGGCTGATACATCTCAAAAGCCCTCACAGTGGGCCGGCATGCGCTGCACGCCTGCAGGTAAAGTCAGAAGCATGTGAGTGGGAGGAGGGAAGGGGCGGAAGAGAGCGGGTGGGTGCGTTATGCAAGAGGGAGACGGAGCACGTGTGATGTGGGTGCTGTGCTGGTGCTGCTCTTGCCACTCCCCCATTGTTTGCCTCTCTCATTCATCCCTCGGCTCTCACTCTGGTCCCTTCCCCTCATTGCCACGCAGTGTGGTGGTGATGCCTTTGTTCCCACTCCTTTGCCTCTCTCATTCCTCCCCTGCCTCTCATCCTTGGCTCCTCCCCCTCGTTGCCATGCAGTGCGCTCACACGGCAGAAGCTGCAGGGTGTCATTCATCCTGACATCTCCAAGCTCACCACGCTCACTTACCTGTAAGCCCACCGCACTCACGTGCCATCTGCGCACATCAGAAGAGGATAGTGACAGGGCGACTGGGAGGTGTTTTGAGTCGGCTCAAAACACGTCCCATCTGCGCACGTCAGAAGAGGATATTGACATGGCGAATGGGAGTTGGGATGCACTGTGCATAGCATGCCAGCTTTCCTTGTCAGTGGGTGCACTGTGCATAGCATGCCAGCTTTCCTTGTCAGTTGGTGCACTGTGCATAGCATGCCAGCTTTCCTTGTCAGTGGGTGCACTGTGCATAGCATGCCAGCTTTCCTTGTCAGTGGGTGCACTGTGCATAGCATGCCAGCTTTCCTTGTCACTGGGTGCACTGTTAGTATGCCAGCTTTCCTTGTCAGTGGGTGGGCTGTGTCCATTTGTAAAGCGGGTCCCCATCCACACTGCTCTCCCTTTCCCCTCTTCCCCCTCTCATCCCACCCCCTCCTCTCCTCCCCTCCCCCTCCCTGCCGCAGTGACTTGGGCTACAACCTCTTCCAGGGCCGTCTCGACTTCTTTGCCGCACCGCTCAAGCCCCTCACGTCGCTCAAGGCGCTGTAAGACCGCCCGGCGCCCCCTTCCACCATGTCCACCTGCTTCCTTTACTCCCCTCTCATGGCCTATGGCGCTGCATGCATTCTGCTGGATGCTCTAAGACCGCGTGAAGCGAGAGTAATTTTGAGACGTCTCAAAAATACTCTCGCTTCACGTGTTTCCTTTACTCCCCTCTCACGGCCTATGGCGCTGCATGCATTCTGTTGGATGCCCAGTGCGTGCTGTGCCCTGCTGCTCCCGCCTGGCACATGCTACGGAGTTTGAGGCGCCCCAAAATCAGACCCCTGCTGCTCCAGCCTTGCACATGCTACTGCAGCTAGCCTGCATGATTTGTCTGTCCTGTGTCACTCCTCTCGTATCCCATCCCACTTATTCTCCTCTGTCCCTTCGCTCCCATGCCCCCTCCCCTCGTCCATCATAGCTTCTTCCACTACAACTACTTCGCCGGCTCGATTCCTTCTGCCATCGCCACACTTCCTCAACTCACCTCACTGTAAGCCAACCCAGCGGCATCACTCACAGCGAAAATTCACATACCGCCTGGTCCCTGTACCTGAAAGCCCAGAGCTGCCCTCCACTCACAACAATCTCCGTTCCTCATGCCCCATCCGCTGTTCATCCACCATTTCCTCATCCACTCCCCCTCCCCTTCCCCTCACCACCTTCCCCCCAACTTTCTCCGCTCCCCCCCATTCCCCCCCGGCAGCGGCCTTTTCTCCAACTACCTTACGGGCACCGTGCCCATCCCTGCCAAGACCCTGCTGGCTCTGGACGTGGGCTTTAACTTCCTCTCGGGCACCTTCCCGAAGCTGCCACTCATGTTCTGTGCGGGCGACAACAACTGCTTCCTCAACTCCACCGCCTGCCGCACCTACGGCATCGTGCAGCGCCCTGCCGGCGCCTGCGCCATCTGCGGCACCGCCGCCGGCCAGGGCGACCTCTGCTTCGGCGGCTCCTGCGCTCCTGACGCCGCTGCTGCCGTCACCGCCAGCACTGTCAACTCGCCCAATCAGCCCATCCTGCCCATGGCATGCACAGGTGTGTGTGTGTGTGTGTGTGCTGTGCACAGTGCGAGGCTCATGTGAACCTGGCAAGGTATGGTATTGCAGTGTCACTTTACCTTCTCGGCGTTCTCCCGCTTTTGCATAGGTTGCTGGCGTTTCTGCTGATCGCACCTCTGCCCGTCCTCCCCACTGCTCTCCTGCCATTCCTCACCCCGCACACTCTCCCCCTCTCTGCCTCTTCTTCGCTCTCCTCTGTTACAGACAATCCCGCAGCGCCAATGGACACAGGTTCAGGTGCGTGTGCTACTCACGCATGCCTTGCCACCCTGCCTTCATGCATGGTTGGCCGGCCCTCATGCGTCCTTCTTTGCCCTCATGCGTCCTTCCTTGCCCTCATGCGTCCTTCCTTGCCCTCATGCGTCCTTCCTTGCCCTCATGCGTCCTTCCTTGCCCTCATGCGTCCTTCCTTGCCCTCATGCGTCCTTCCTTGCCCTCATGCGTCCTTCCTTGCCCTCATGCGTCCTTCCTTGCCCTCATGCGTCCTTCCTTGCCCTCATGCGTCCTTCCTTGCCCTCATGCGTCCTTCCTTGCCCTCATGCGTCCTTCCTTGCCCTCATGCGTCCTTCCTTGCCCTCATGCGTCCTTCCTTGCCCTCATGCTTCCTTCCTTGCCCTCATGCGTCCTTCCTTGCCCTCATGCGTCCTTCCTTGCCCTCATGCGTCCTTCCTTGACCTCATGCTTCCTTCCTTGCCCTCATGCGTCCTTCCTTGCCCTCATGCGTCCTTCCTTGCCCTCATGCGTCCTTCCTTGCCCTCATGCTTCCTTCCTTGCCCTCATGCTTCCATGAACCTCATGCATCTTTGACCTCCTCTCTTCTTCGGCTTTCTGCACTCTCCCCAATCCCCCTTTGAGATTCTCACTTCCAATTGTTTTGAGACGTCTCAAAACATTTCTGCACTCTCCCCAATCCCCCTTTGAGATTCTCACTTCCGATTGTTTTGAGACATCTCAAAACATTTCTGCACTCTCCCCAATCCCCCTTTGAGATTCTCACTTCCGATTGTTTTGAGACGTCTCAAAACATTTCTGCACTCTCCCCAATCCCCCTTTGAGATTCTCACTTCCGATTGCTCGGCCTTATCTCTCCCTCCTGTCGCTCACCCCCTCCCATCGCCCACAGCTCTGGCGCTGCTGAACGTGAAGTCAACGCTGGGAGTGACGTTCACCAGCTGGGCGGCTGCATCGCCCTGCGCCATTGCCAACTCCACCATCACCATAGGAGGCACCTGGACCGGCGTGCTCTGCTCCGCTGCTGGCAACGTTCTCAGCGTGTCAGTGCTCCGCCCTCCTCCCGCCTCTGCCTCCTCCCTCCCTGCTCCTTTCCTCCTGCTCCCTGCTGCTACAAAGCCACTCTTTCATCTTTCAATCACCGCTGAAAGCTTGCTTTGTATATTTCTCTCCCACTTTCCCCCAATCTCCCTTTTTTTCCTCCCTCCCCTCTCCCCCCCCCCCCATTTTACCGCACGCAGCAACCTGTCCTCCTCCGCCCTGGCTGGAAGCATGCACCCCGACATCACCAAGCTCACCGCCCTCACCTACCTGTCAGTGCCCTCACCTACCTGTCAGTGCCCTCACCTACCTGTCAGTGCCCTCACCTACCTGTCAGTGCTGCGCACGTATACTGCATCTGAGAGCCAGTCAGCATGTTCCTCATCAATGCTGCGTCTTCCCCTTCCCTGACGCACCACCACCTGCTCGTCTTGCTCTGCCCTCTCCATGCCCTCCACCACCCACCCCAGGGGCGTGTTTTTGAGTCAACTCAGAAACTGAGTCGAGTCAAAAACACCGCCATGTGCTCGCCTTGCTCCGCCCTCACGATGCCCTCCACCACCCACCCTGCTCAGTAACGATCTGTTCAACAGCCTGCTGTGTGCATCACGAGGGCATCACGAGGGCTCACTGAGCTATGTCTGCATCACGAGGGCAGAGCAAGCCTCGTGATGTTCAGTAGCGACCTGTTCAACAACCTGCTGCTTGCCAGCGGCCAGCCTGGCAAGCTTCCTCTCCTCACTTGCTTCCTTTCTCCTCCCCCCTGTGCATGTTCCCTGTGCCGTTTCTCCCGCCCGCCCCCTGCAGCGACCTCTCGAACAACCTGCTGCTTGGAAGCCTTGACAAATTCGCCTCCTCCTTCTCGGGCCTCAAGGCGCTCCTGCAGCTGTCAGTGCCGCCCGCCTCACCCTCACCGCGCTCACCCATGCCACTCGAATCCGCCCTGCTCTCGATCGTGTTGCTCTCAGCTGTACTGCTCTCGATCGTGTTGCTCTCAGCTGTACTGCTCTCGATCGTGTTGCTCTCAGCTGTACTGCTCTCGCTCGTGTTGCTCTCAGCTGTAGTGCTCTCGATCGTGTTGCTCTCAGCTGTATTGCTCTCGCTCGTGTTGCTCTCAGCTGTATTGCTCTCGATCGTGTTGCTCTCAGCTGTATTGCTCTCGCTCGTGTTGCTCTCAGCTGTATTGCTCTCGCTCGTGTTGCTCTCAGCTGTATTGCTCTCGACCGCGTTGCTCTCAGCTGTATTGCTCTCGATCGTGTTGCTCTCAGCTGTATTGCTCTCGATCGTGTTGCTCTCAGCTGTATTGCTCTCGATCGTGTTGCTCTCAGCTGTATTGCTCTCGATCGTGTTGCTCTCAGCTGTATTGCTCTCGATCGTGTTGCTCTCAGCTGTGCTGCTCTCGCTCGTGTTGCTCTCAGCTGTACTGCTCTTGATCGTGTTGCTCCCAGTAGTCGTTCCCTTGTGCGGCCTTCAGCACGCACAATATGGGTAGAGCCACATGCACACCATGGTACAGCCACGCACACAGCCACGCATTGCATGCTGCCACCAAGCCATCTCAGCAGTACACGCTCTGAATGCCTCTCCACCTCTTTCCTCCCACCGGTCTCCCTTCCTCGTATCGTATCCCTCCAGGCGCCTCAACAACAACTGGTTCGCGGGCTCCTTTCCTCAGACCCTCATGTCGCTTCCCGCTCTCACTCTGCTGTAAGGGTCCAAAACACATTCACCAGTCCTTTGGTGTGAAAGAAGTTTGGTGTTGAGACGTCTCAAATCCCAAAATTTCTCACCTGTCCTGTGCTTTGGCCCCCCTTTCCCTTCATCCTCCCTCCTCCACCCCCCTCCAACAACAACCCCTTCCAACTCCTTTCAGCCTCACCCAACCTTCCACCCACCCACCCACTCCCCTGACACGGCAGGGACGTGCACGCAAACACACTGACAGGGTCACTGCCCGCCGTGTCATCCATGCTGCAGGCGCTCTTCCTGCACGACAACTTCCTCGCCGGCACCTTCACCCCCACCGCTGCCCTCACCGCGTGTGACGCCAGCCTCAACTGCCTCACCAGCGCCGCTGCGTGTGGCGCCAGCAGCACCACTCAGAGGGCCGCTGCTGCGTGTGCCATCTGCGACAGTGCGGACGCCCAAGGGCTGCTGTGCTGGGGGGGCGTGTGCCTGCCTAACGTCACTTTCTCCACCGCACACCCTGACGGGCTTGCCCCGCCGCCCATGTACTGCAATGGTGCGTCTCCTCCTCCCCCTTTATGCTCCCTCACCCCGTGATCCCAGCTGGAATCTTGCTGCCCTTCACAATGGCCTTCTCTCCCTTGCTAACGTTTTTCTAAAATTCTCAAAAAACATATGCTGCCCTTCACAATGGCCTTCTCTCCCATGATAACCCCCATGATCCCTGCTCGCTGCCTCCTGCCTGTATGCATACTCACGCCCCTCTCCTCCCGTGCCGTTATCCCTGATTGCCTGCCTGCCTATGGCTGCTCCTGATGGTCTTTGATCTGAATATCTCGGATTGTCTTTGAATGCCTCTGATCCGCATGGTGTCTGCTGCAGGGGCTCCGGTGGTCAACATGAGCTCTGTTGATGGTGAGAGCGCCTTGCCTTGCCCCACACCTCCATGCTGCCTGCCTGCGTTTCACCTTGATGTGCCCATGCCGATGCCATTCCCTGCTTGCATTCCCAGCCATGCCATTCACCACGCATTTCTCGTCATACGCGGCGCCACAACTCATCCACCACCACTCGCAGCATGCCAAACCCCCAACCCCATGTGCCGCCCCCACCTCGTCACTCTTTCTTCACCTGCCCCCTCCCTTTCCCCCCACCCCTCTCCCCCGTCCTTTATGCGCGGCAGCGCAAGCGCTGGCGGCGCTGAAGAGTGCGATCGGGGTGACGTTCACCACGTGGGCGCCCGCCACCTACTGCACCGTGGCGCCCACCGCCGTCATTGCCGGCACGTGGACCGGCGTGCTCTGCAACTCCCTCGGCAAAGTCGTCAGCCTGTCAGTCCGCCTGCCTGCCCTGTCTGTTCCTCCCTGCCCTTGCTGTGCTCTTCCTGCCACTTCTCTCCCTCTCCTAGCACTGGGTCTACCCAACTTGCAAGCTGCCACTGCGTGCCAACTTTCCCTTCCTGCCCTTTCTCAGCCTGCGTTGAAGACAGTGCCAACTGCAGCCACTTTCCTCGGCTCTCCTGCCCTGCTGCTTGCTCAGGCCATGCTGATGGCGTATGTTTCGCCTTGCCTCTGACTCACCACTCGCGTCTCCACTCATCAATCCTGTGCCCATGCCTTGTGTTGCCTGTGTTGTGCCCCTCTGCTGTGCCTGCTCGCCCTGCATGCCCGCAGGCAACTCGCCAACAGCAAGCTCACGGGCACTCTGCCACTCGCTGTCTCCACCCTCACAGCGCTCACTGCCATGTGAGGCCCCTTCCCTCCCTGCCCACTAACACTTCACTCTCCTCACTGCAATCTGTAGCCCGCACTCGCTTGCCATCAACTGCTGTCTCCACCCTCACAGCACTCACTGCCATGTGAGCCCCCCTCCCCCCGCTGCCACTTCCCTTTCCTCACTGCACCTTGCAGCCCGCCCTTGCTTTCCACCAACTGCCCTAGCCACTATGAAAGCATACCACTCTCACTTCCTGCATTCTCAGCTGTCCATTGTCTCCACCACTCTCCTCATTCTCTCTCCTCATTCTCTCTCCTCTCCTCATTCTCTCTCCTCTCCCCACTCTCCTTCCTCTTTGCCCCGCCCCTCATTCTCTTCCCCCCTCTCTGCCCCGCCCCTCATTCTCTTCCCCCCTCTCTGCCCCGCCCCTCATTCTCTTCCCCCCTCTCTGCCCCGCCCCTCATTCTCTTCCCCCCTCTCTGCCCCGCCCCTCATTCTCTTCCCCCCTCTCTGCCCCGCCCCTCATTCTCTTCCCCCCTCTCTGCCCCGCCCCTCACTCTCTCTCCTCTCCACCCCTCCCCCCAGCGACCTCACCTCCAACCTCTTCCAGGGTCGCCTGGACGAAGTTGCCACGCAGCTGCGCCTGCTCACCAACCTCAAAGCCATGTGCGTCTCCCTAACCCTGCTCTTATGGGACATCTCACAAGGAAACATTCTAGCGCTGTGTGCAGGAGGCTATGAAAATAATTTCAGCGCTCTGAGCATGTTTCGCAAGGGCGGCGTGGCGACATGTCAAGAGTCGGTTTTTGAGTCGACTAAAAAACGACTCATCACACAAGGGCGGCGTGGCGACATGTCAAGAGATTTCACCATGCGAATGTGCTCTCACTCGTTCCTTCCTTCTTGGCGACAATCCTTCTTTGCTGCGCCATTCTTCTGTATAGGTTCTGGCTCCATAGCATTTTCTCACCCACTCGTGCCTGCGCCTCTGCCTCACCCACCCACGCACCCACTCATCCCATCCCATGCTCACAGCGACCTGGCCTACAACTGGCTCTCCGGCTCGGTGCCTGCGTTCATGCTCACCCTTCCCAGCCTCACGGAGATGTAAGCGCCACTCGCCACTGCTCCCTCCACTCGCCTGCACTGTCTTCTCTTTGTTCCTCTCCTCCCAACTTCCTTCTGACCATCGCTGTGCCAGAAACTCAATTGACTTCGTATCCCCCCCCTCCGTCGAGACCAGTTTCTTTGTAATATCTCTTCTCCTCATTACTCTGACTGATCCATTCCCACTTGCACCCACACATCCCCGCCTTTCCCTCTGCTCTGCCCCACAGCACTCTAGGCTACAACTACCTGACGGGCGCGCTGCCCCCGGTGACATCCCCGCTCTCAGTGGTGGACGTGCAGTTCAACTTCCTCGCCGGCACCTTCCCCACGCTCAACCTCACCCTCTGCGCCGCGCGCATGAACTGCTTCCTCGACGCCACCAAGTGCAAGAACCCCAACCGCGCCGCCGAGCTCCCGCGGGCCGCTGCTGCCTGCGCCATCTGCAACACGACCAACGCGCAGGGCCGGCTGTGCAGCGGCGGGCTGTGCACCGTCAACGCCACGGACCTCGTGGCACTCGGTGCTCCCAACAGTGCCGCGTCTCCCACACTGCCGCTCATCTGCGTGGGAGCGGCGTTTGTGGCGATGGACTCGGTGCATACGGGTGCCATGCTGAACCTCAAGGCGTCGCTGGGAGTGACCTTCACCGACTGGAAGGCCGACTCGCCCTGCTCCCTGCCCGGCGCCGTTGCCCCTGGTTCGTGGAGCGGGGTCACCTGCGACGGCACTGGCAAAGTGCTCGGCATGTGAGTGCACATGCAGACAAGTGGCAGCTGCAACGCAGCTAAAACGCAAGCAGCACGATGGGTTTTCTTGGGCCCCGATTTTATTGACAAGTCTGATGAGTCCTCTTCTCTGTGCACTCTTTTGAGTCGACCCAGATGTCATCTTGGGCCCCGATTTTAATGTCAAGTCTGATGTGTTCTCTGTGCACTCTTTTGAGTCGACTCAGATGTCATCTTGGTCCCCGATTTTAATGTCAAGTCTGATGTGTTCTCTGTGCACTCTTTCTGTGGCCTTGCTTGCTTGTCTGACCTGCAGAGTCCTCAACTCGCAAAAACTGGGAGGCAGCATCCACTCAGACATCTCCAAGCTCACCACGCTCACATCACTGTCAGTCCTCACCCTCCTCCCTCCCCCTCTCGTTCTCACTCGTCTGTGATGCTATTACACTATCTTCTCGCTCGATTCTCTCTGTTGGTTGCTCCTTGCTGCTGCAGGGTGCTTCTGTCCATGCTTTTAAGCTAAGGTGCCCTTGTGCATTGTGCCGTGTGTGCCCTTTCCCTTGCCTGCATGGCTGTATGCTGCAGTGACCTGCAGTCCAACCTGCTGCAGGGGCGGCTGGACTCCTTCACTGCCGGCATCAAGGCGCCCCTCGTGCTCAAGGAGCTGTGAGTCCCTCGTGCTCAAGGAGCTGTGAGTCCCTCGTGCTCAAGGAGCTGTGAGTCCCTCGTGCTCAAGGAGCTGTGAGTCCCTCGTGCTCAAGGAGCTGTGAGTCCCTCGTGCTCAAGGAGCTGTGAGTCCCTCGTGCTCAAGGAGCTGTGAGTCCCTCGTGCTCAAGGAGCTGTGAGTCCCTCGTGCTCAAGGAGCTGTGAGTCCCTCGTGCTCAAGGAGCTGTGAGTCCCTCGTGCTCAAGGAGCTGTGAGTCCCTCGTGCTCAAGGAGCTGTGAGTCCCTCGTGCTCAAGGAGCTGTGAGTTCTCGCACCCTGCCACCGCTCCATTCCATGCATGCACCCCTCGTGCTCAAGGAGCTGTGAGTCGCTGCACCCTGCCAGTTTTGAGGCGCCTCAAAACTAGACGCACCCTGCCACCGTTCCATGTACCCATGCATGCGCCCCTCGTGCTCAAGGAGCTGTCAGTCGCCAATGCCCGCCAACAATGCCCCCTGCACCCATGCTGCCATGCATGCATGCAACCATAGCTCTGTGCATGCATACGGTCATGCGCCCATCCACGCAGCCATCCATGCTCGCATTGGGCCATGCTTAAACTGTCCTACACTGCTCAGCACATTCACTTCACGTACTCTGCATTATTCACTCATCACCTTGCTCTCCCTCAACTCCCTGTGAACTCCCTGAACCCCCTGTGTCCCCCCCGTCCACCCTCCCCCATTTGTTGTGCTGCAGCGCTCTGCAATTCAACTACCTGTCTGGACAGTTCCCCTCCACGCTTCTCGCCCTCACCACCCTCTCCAAGCTGTGAGCGCTCTCCCTCCTCCCTCCTTCTGCTGTCTCCCTTCCGCCTCACCTTCCCGCACTCTCCAATCACGCAGCATCTATGTCACCTCGTTTCTCCTTCCCCACTCACGTCTCCCTCCTTTTCCCTCTCCACACTGCCCCCACCCCCACCCCCCAGCTCCGTGGCCTACAACTACCTCACGGGTCCCTTCCCAACCGTGCCGGCATCAGCAAAGTCGCTGGACGTGCAGGGAAACTTCCTGTCGGGTTCCTTCCCCACCAACGCGCTCACCTACTGCGCCGCCACCACCAACTGCCTCACCGACGCCAACAACTGCGCCTCCCTCGGCATCACCCAGCGCTCCGCCTCCGACTGTGCCATCTGCGGCACCGCCTTTGGCCAGGGCACGCTGTGCGGGGGTGTGCCGTGCCTGGTCAACACCACGGGGGTCACGGCGCCTCCCACTGCCACGTCTCCCCCTCTCAACCTCTACTGCACGCCTGTTGCACTGGACACCAACACCAGTGAGTGCAGCAGTGCCGCTCCTGCCCTGCACACCACCCCCTCTTTGTGTGCTCTTCCCTCGGCGCCCACCTTTCCCACCAGGTTCATCCCACCGGCTCATCCTCATCCCACTACTGTGCCCCCTGCCACCACTGCGCCCCCTCTCCTCTCCTCCCACGTGCAGCCACAACGCTGCTGGCGCTGAAGGCGGTGCTGGGAGTGACGGCCACGGACTGGAGTGCAACGACGGTGGCACTGAAGCCCAAGGCACTGAAGAGCAGCAGCGTGCCCCTCGCCACCATGGTGGGCGCCTGCACCGTCGACGGGCAGACCCCTGCTCCCGGCTCGTGGACTGGTGTCTACTGCAACACCGCTGGCGCCATCGTCGCCCTGTGAGTGGGTCATGGCGTGGTGCTCTGAGTGTCTTTCTCACCCGCCTGCTGTGAGTGCCGCACTGCTCCAAATGTCGCATCATTTCCGTCTTTCCCTTTCACCGCTCTCATGTACGCCCATTCTTTTATCTTCAATCGTTCTTTCGTTCCCCCACCCTTATCCCCTTTTCCACCCCTTCCTCTGACAAACTTGTAGGTTGCTGCCGAACCAGAAGCTGACTGGAAGCCTATCCTCCGACATCAGCAAGCTCACAGCGCTCACCGCACTGTTAGTCTCCCCTTCCCGCCCATGAGGCGATTTTTGAGTCGACTCAAAAATCGCCTATCCTCCGACATCAGCAAGCTCACAGTGCTCACCGCACTGTTAGTCTCCCCTTCCCGCCCATGCACTCCTATCCGCGCCCATCTCCGCCCATCCACGCCCATTCACGCCCATGCAAGCCTGCCCTCACTTCACTCACTTCACTCATGCCACCACCACCCTTCAGTTCAGTGCAGCACAGGATTGCGAATAACTCTTCGGCTCTCGCAATTACCCACTTCTCATGCACAATGCTGTGTGAAAGAAGAGTGTTTTTCAGACGTCTGAAAAACTACCTGCTTCTCGTGCACAATGCTGAGTTGACTTTTGAGTCGTCTCAAAAGTATCGTCGGCTCTCGCAAATACCTTCTTCTCGTGCACAATGCTGCCTCCACGCCTTAAGAGCCAGCCTGCCTCTGTATTCAAATGCATGTGTGTAGTGGTATGCACATGTGTGTGTGCACGTGCATGCTGTGGTGTCTATGTGCCTGCATCGGCATGTCATGCACTACACTGCTTGCACACATGCATTGGTGCCCGGCGTGTGCTCGACTGCTCGCACACACACAGGGATCTGAGCGCCAATCTCTTCCAGCAGCGCTTGGATGTGTTTGTTTCGCTCTTCAGCACTCTCAAGACACTCAAGTCTCTGTAAGTGCTGCACTCACCACCACATGCTGCACTCACCACCACGAGCTGCACTCACCACCATGTGCTATCGCTGCACCCACCCAAGCGTGTCAGAGCACCAGCAGTCATCACTCCGCTTCTCACATCGCTGCCCTCACCTCACTCCATTCCCGTCCGCCCTGCCCACTGGCAGCTCGCTGCAGTACAACTGGTTCTCCAGCTCCATCCCCTCCGCCCTGCTCGCCCTGCCAGCCCTCTCCACCGTGTGAGTGCCCCTCACCACCCTTGCCCTCTGCGCTCCCCCCCTCTGGAAAACTCCTTGTTTCTCCCACGCGTGGTATGCCCCGACTTTGCCTCTGCCACCACCCATCACTCACCACCCACCACTGCTTAACACCTGGCAGTTCTTCTCTCCCCATCCTCACTGCACCCCCTCTCCCCTCCCCCCTGCTGCGCGCAGCAAGCTGAACCGCAACTACCTGACGGGGGTGGTGCCCACCGTGGGGGTAGCGGTGAAGGCGCTGAACGTGGCAGACAACTTCCTCTCGGGCTCCTTCCCCACTGCGGCCCTCACGGCGTGCGATGCGCGCTCCAACTGCTTCGTGGACGCCTCCAAGTGCACCAACACCAACGGCACCGCGCAGCGCGCCACTGCCGACTGCAACGTCTGCGGCTCCACCGGGGCTGCCGGCATGCTGTGCGGCGGCGGCTTCTGCACTCCCAACGCCACAGTGCCGGCCGGCACGGGCACGCCCAACACGGAGGGGCAGGCGGTGCTGCCGCTGTTCTGTCAGGGCGGCCCCATCGAGGTCAACATGCGCGGCGCCATGCTCAACCTCAAGGCATCACTGGGCGTCACTCTTACTGACTGGCTCGCCACCTCGCCGTGCAACATCGCAGGGCAGAACACGGTGCCGGGGGCGTGGTCTAATGTGGTCTGTGACACCGCCGGCAAGGTCTTGAGCATGTGAGTAGCAGTCAGCAGCGGCGTTTCGGCCCTTTGTTTTGGGCTGAGCGGGTTTAGCTTACAGGGTGAGTAAGGAGGCCTGTTGGGCACAGCAGCCCCCGCACCGGGGGCGTGGTCCAACGTGGTGTGTGACTCGTCGGGCAAGGTCACGAGCATGTGAGTGGCGCCAGTGCCCTTGGGCTCTCTGCATTGCAGCAGCCTGCAGCCAGACACAGCCACAGGATGCATTTGCCTTTGTCTCGCGCCGGGGGCGTGGTCCAACGTGGTGTGTGACTCGGAGGGCAAGGCCGTGAGCATGTGAGCATGTGAGTAGCAACCATCTCTGTGGTGTCTCAGCCCGCAGAGGCGTTCTGGCTTGCTAGGCTGAGCTGCAGAGTGACTCGAGCCCTGTTGGACACAGTTGCAGGTCAAGCCGCCTGTCTGTCTTGCTCTATCTTGCGTGCCGGGATCTGTGATTCTCATTTGCTCCCCCCTCGCCCCGTTGCTGTCCCTCTTGCCTGTGCTTCGCGGCAGCGACCTCACGAGTCAGCTGCTGAAGGGGACCATGCATGCTGACATCACCAAGCTCACCACTCTCACCTCGCTGTAAGCTCATTACTCCCGCTTTGCCATGTCTCTCCTTGCTCTAAGCTCACCACTCTCACTGTAGTCACGCGCTTCTCCTTGCTTTTACATCACCAAACCCTGCGTTCCCCTTCCCCCCCTCTCTTGCCCTCCCCTCTGCTCCGGCCTGTGTGCAGCATCCTGGACAGCAACCTGCTGCATTGCTGCCTGGCAATAAGAAGCTGAGTTTTGCGACGTCTCAGAAACCCCCTCCCCCTCCCCCCTTCCTCTCTCCCTGCCTGTGTGCAGCATCCTGGACAGCAACCTGCTGCAGGGCCGCCTGGCGTTCTTCACGTCGGCCTTCAAGGGGCTCTCAGCGCTCAAGCAATTGTCAGCCGCCTCTGCCTGCCTGCCCCCCACCTGCCCTCTGCCGCCCATCCCATTATCCCTGTTGCAAGCTTCATCGGACTTTGCAGCACTGCTTTCTCTGCTCTCCGCTGTTCCGCTTGCTCACGCTCTCTTGCTTGTGTGTTGCTGGTCTGTCTTGCCCTCACTCACTGCTGCCTGTGCCCGTGCCTGCTCTACCTCTCTCCCCTTCCCCCGCTGCCTGCCAATCTGCAGCAAGGCACGCTTCAACTTCTTCGCGGGACCGCTGCCTTCTGCACTGCTCACACTCCCCACACTCACCAACCTGTACCACTGCCACCCTAGTCGCTCCCCCCCCCCCCTCTTCTAACATGCCACCTGCTCGTTTTGCTCTTTTGTGTCACCGATCTTCTTCCTTGCCTCGTGCGTTCACCCGGACGCTCCTGAAGCAAAGGTCCCTGAGACAAGTGCGAGATGTTGTAGGTGGAAATTGGTACTTCAGGTAAGTACCAGGAATACTCTCCTCAAGATCCACGCAGAGTGTTGCTGCTCAGGCGTTGTATAATTTTCTCACCTCCTTGTTGTCGGTGCTGCTAGACAGGCCATTTTGCCCTGCGTCCACCCTCTCACCTCCTTGTCTCTTTCCACTCCACCCCACCCATGTGTTACTGTGCCGCATCCTCCCAGCGACATGAGCTACAACTACCTCACAGGCACCGTCCCCGCCACTGTAGGCACGGCGCTCAAGTCACTCAACATCGGAGGCAACTTCCTGTCAGGCAGCATCGGCACCCTCACCGGCGTGACGTGCTCGGCAGCACTCAACTGCCTCACCTCCCAGGGCAGCTGCACCTCCGGCGGCGTTCTCAACCGCGCCGGCTGTGGCATCTGCGGCAGCCCTGACGGCCAGGGCACTCTGTGCGGCGGTGGGCTGTGCGTGCCGAATGCTACGGAGGCAGTGGCGGGTAACAGCGTCCCCACGCTGTCCACGCCCATCATGAGCATGTACTGCACGGGGGTCATCATCGACGCTGCCTCAGGTAATGCAATGCTGGAATCACTTCTGAGAGTTCTCAAGAGTAGCAGCATCTAGGCCCATAGTGGAGTGAAAGCACCCTCACGCTGTCCGCGCCCATCAGGTCAACGTACTTTTGAGTTGACTCAAAAGTCACCTCACCAATGTCATCATCGACGCCTCCTCAGTTGATGCATTCTCCTGCCCTCTCACCCGTCTCCACGCCACCGTTATGCACCCATGCTATGCGCCGTGCATTGTGTGTGCTCCTCACCAGTGATCATCCCTTCCTATCCATGCCTCCTCCCTCCCTGTGTCTTGCTCTCCTCTTAAACCTCCCCCACACTCACATCTGTCCCCTTGTCGGGCTCCCTGACTGGACCGCCCCCTACGCTGCGCCAGTCACAGCGCTGGGCAACATAAAGACGGCGCTGGGAGTGACCTTCACGGACTGGGTGGCGCCCACGGCACTGCTCAAGCCCAAGGCAGCGGGCAGCACGGGCAGTGGCAGTGTGGCGCTGACGGACTGGCTCACCACGGGCGGCTACTGCACGGTGGAGGGACAGACCCCCGTCGCTGGCGCCTGGTCTGGCGTATTTTGCAACGCCCTCGGCCAGCCCGTCAGCCTGTGAGCGCCCTCCCACCCTCGCCCACTGCTGTGCTCTCTCGCTGTTTCCCACCGCGTCCGGCGTGCTCTGCAGCTCCCTCTGCCATGCTTTTGAGTCGACTCAAAAGCGTGCTCTGCAGCTCCCTCTGCCATGCTTTTGAGTCGACTCAAAAGCGTGCTCTGCAGCTCCCTCGGCCAGCCCGTCAGCCTGTCAGCACCCTCTCACCCTCTGCCCCCTGCTGCGCTCTCGTTTTTCCTTCTGCAGCTGCTGCTCGGGCTGTTGCAGTGCCTGTCTTGCTGTTCAAGCCACTACCAATGCACGTAACCATGGCAGCATGTAACTCGCCTCCCCGCCATGCCCCTCCCTCCTCCCCACCCCATGCTGGCAGGAAGCTGGACAATCAGAAGCTCACCGGCTCATTCCATGCTGACATCAGCAAGCTCTCCACGCTCACCATGCTGTGAGTGCCGCTCACCATGCTGTGAGTGCCGCTCACTTGCTGCCCATGTGCGGCCCTGCCCATGTGCTGCCCATGTGCTGCCCATGTGCTGCCCATGTGCTACCCATGTGCTACCCATGTGCTACCCATGTGCTACCCATGTGCTACCCATGTGCTACCCATGTGCTACCCATGTGCTACCCATGTGCTGCATGTGCTGAGTGCCGACCACATGCTCCCCTATGCCGAGCGCCAATGCCGGGCGGTAGGCAGGACACCCGCTCCACTCCTCCATGCCTTCATGCCCTCCCTCCCTCCGCTCCACCCCCTCCTCCCCCCTCTCCTCTCCTCGCACCACAATCTGCTGCTGCCCGTGCAGGGATGTGAGTTTCAACTTCTTCCGAAATAACATCGACACCTGGGCCTCGTCCCTCAAGCTCTCCACCAATCTGCTCTCTCTGTGAGTGTCTTGCCTCTGTGAGTGTCTGGCCTCTGTGAGTGTCTTGCCTCTGTGAGTGCCTTGCCTCTGTGAGTGTTTTGCCTCTGTAAGTGTCTTGCCTCTGTGAGTGTCTTGCCTCTGTGAGTGTTTTGCCTCTGTAAGTGTTTTGCCTCTGTAAGTGTCTTGCCTCTGTGAGTGTCTTGCCTCTGTGAGTGCCTTGCCTCTGTGAGTGTTTTGCCTCTGTAAGTGTCTTGCATCTGTGAGTGTCTTGCCTCTGTGAGTGTCTTGCCTCTGTGAGTGCCTTGCCTCTGTGAGTGCCTTGCCTCTGTGAGTGTCTTGCCTCTGTGAGTGCCTTGCCTCTGTGAGTGTCTTGCCTCTGTGAGTGTCTTGCCTCTGTGAGTGTCTTGCCTCTGTGAGTGCCTTGCCTCTGTGAGTGCCTTGCCTCTGTGAGTGTCTTGCAAACCTGCGATCGCTGTGAGTGCATTTCTATCATGCTCACCTCAAGTGCCTTGCTTGCAAAAATTATGCAGTCAACCCTGTACTCCCTGCAGTCAACCCTGTACTCCCTGCCCCCCCTCTCTCCCCGCCCCGCATGCAGCCGCCTCAACAACAACTATCTCTTCGGCTCTGTGCCCCTCTGGCTCGTCTCCTTCGCCAAGCTCACCAACCTGTCAGTGCCCCACCGTGTCCCACCCTGCCCCACCCTGCTCCACCCTGCCCTCACCTGCCACAAAGTTATCAATCAACCCCTGCCACCCCAGCCGCCCCTAGCCTCGTGCATTTCCCAATCGTTTTACAATCCATGTTATCCCCTCTGCTCCATCCATCTGTGGCCTCTCGTGTATCATGCTCTCCCTCACCCTTGCCTCTTGTGCCGCATGCCGCTGTCCCTTGGCCCTCTTCCGTGCCCCATGCGGCCGTCCCCTTATCTCCTCCCTCATCCGCCCCTTTCCTACCCTTCCAACCTCCTCCCTCCCTCTCCCCATTCCTTCTCCTCCCCCCGGCCTGCGTGCAGCGAGCTGAGCATGAACGCGCTCACGGGCACGTTCCCAGCACCCATCTCCACCGCACTCAAGCGCCTCATGGTGGACCAGAACTTCCTGGGCGGCACCTTCCCAGCCAACAGCGCCACCTACTGCACGGCCTACTACAACTGCATCACCTCCTACACCACCTGCCCCGCCGTCTACCCCAACCTGCCTCAGCCCAGCTATGGGTGCCAGTTCTGTGGCACCACCAACGCGCTGGGCACGGCGTGCATGGGCAACCCGTGTGTGCCGGTGACGCCGTCGCCCATCACGGCGGTCAACAAGTGGAACCCCGTCCCTGTCATGCGCTGCGATCCTGTCCCCATCCAAGCCACTCAAGGTAACTCACCCATTCATAGTGCCGCACCTAGGCCTCCCAGGGTACCCACTCACTGCGTGACGTGAACCATGACTTGCACATAAGCCACGGGTTGCCCCCCCCTTATGCTCAATTCCCCCTCCCCCCACTCCCTATCCCCATGGTGCGTGGCAGCGGCGGCGCTGCAGGCGATGGTACCGGGGCTGTAGGTGCAGCCAACGTGCACACCTCCTCACACATGACTCATGCCCTCATGCAAAAGTCCCCCTCCCCACACCACACCCCTCCCATGGCGCCCATCCCCCCTCCTCCCTTGCCGCCCCTGGCAGCGGCGGCGTTGCAGGCGATGGTACCGGGGCTGTGGACGCAGCCGACGTGCACCATAGCCGGGCAGGCCTACATTGCTGGCACGCTGCCCCGGGTCTTCTGCAATCCCGCTGGCTTGGTCCTGGACATGTACGCCTGCCTTTTGCACGCCTGCATGCCTGTGATGTGACAGGGAGTGGTGCATGCCCCATGCGCGCCTCATTCGTGAAGGATGCGTTGAATTAAGCTGCACGGCACACGTCATGTGTTCACGTTTGTACCGAGCAGTAACCTCCTACGGGGGAACGCCACGATGCATGTTCGTTGTCACAAGGTCTTGTTCTTGTGTTCTTGAATCTTCTTTCTGCGCGTGAGCTCCTTCTTTCTCATGATCTGTGAGTGTGTTCCGCTCCTTTCCTGTGCCCCACGCTGTGCCCCACGCTGTGCCCCACGCTGTGCCCCACGCTGTGCCCCACGCTGTGCCGCCCCACGCTGTGCCCCACGCTGTGCCCCACGCTGTGCCCCACGCTGTGCCCCACGCTGTGCCCCACGCTGTGTCCCACAGTGTTCTCAACGGTGTCAAAGCGTCAGGCTTCTTCCCTCCCGACTCCTCAAAGCTCTCTGCGCTCACCAGGCTGTAAGCTCCACCTCTTGAAAGGTGACTTCTGAGTATATCCAAAAGTCACCTCTTCCTTTCCCCCGACTCCCAAAGCTCTCTGCGCTCACCAGGCTGTAAGCTCCACCTCTTGAAAGGTGACTTCTGAGTATATCCAAAGTCACCTCTTCCTTTCCCCCGACTCCCAAAGCTCTCTGTGCTCACCAGGCTGTAAGCTCCACCTTACACACCGCAGTGCTTTCATTCCCATCACACACCGCAGTGCCATTGCATTCGTCTCACAAGTCACCTGACATCAACGTATGTGTTTGTGTGCCGCGCTGTGTGCTGTGCTGTGTGCCGCGCTGTGTGCTCTGCCATGCCTGCTGTGCTGCGTCGCAGTGACTTCTCGGTGAACTTCTTCACCAACCGCATCGACACCTTCCTTGCGCCCTTCCTTCCCATCAAGACCCTCAACACCCTGTAAGCCTCCCACCCACCTTCCGCACCCCTGCCTTGCTGGAATCTTCTGAGAAATTTCAAACCGCATCGACACATTCCTTGCACCCTTCCTTCCCATCAAGACCCTCAACACCCTGTAAGCCTCCCACACTTGCACCCCTGTGAGAATATCACGTTTGATGTTTTACCGCTCTCCTGCTGCCTCTCTACCTGTAAGCATGTCAACCCCTCCTCTCCCTGCAATCCCTTCACTCCTCTCTGTGCCTGCACTGACTTCATCTCCCTCTGTGCCTGCACCCCGCTCATCCCCCCCTCTTTGCTGCGCCCATGCATGCAGCCGCCTCCACCAGAACTACTTTTCGGCCTCCTTCCCGGCCAGCATCTCCCCCTCATTAATTACCATCTTTTGAGAGGTCTCCTAACTTGTTTCACCCCCCTCTTTGCTGCACCCATGCATGCAGTCGCCTCCACCAGAACTACTTATCAGGCTCCTTCCCAGCCAGCATCTCCGCCCTCACTGCCCTCACAGAACTGTAAGCCTCCCTGCCCCCCTGCCCTCTTGCCCTCTCTCACCTCAAGCCTCGTTCGTTCATTTCCTACTCATCTCCACTCACTCTCACTGCCCTCTCGGAATTGCAAGCGCCTGCGCTCTCGTTCTTTTTCCTGACCCCTCTCATCTCCGTCTCCCACACGCGCCAATCCCTGTGCACCACTCCACTGCTGCCCACCACTATATATACCATGGGTAACGCAGGCGCCTGAACCTGAACTACCTGACGGGCAGCATGCCGGCAGCACTGCCAGCATCCCTCAAGGTGATCGACCTGTCGAACAACTACCTGGTGGGCACCTTCCCCACCACCACCGCCACCTCCGTCGCCTGCGCCAGCAACTGCCTGCAGGACGCCTCCAAGTGCCCCGCCGGCTCTGCTCAGCGCGCTGCAGGCGGCTGTGCCATCTGCGAGACGACCGACGCCACGGGCAGGATGTGCGGCGGCGGCGTCTGCACGCCCAACGCCACGGCGCTCATCGCAGCGCAGACGGTCAACCCCGACACGGCGCCGCTCTACTGCCTCGGGGCGTCCATGGACCCTGCAATGGGTGAGTGCGCTGGGGGGTGCACTGCGGTGCGGTGCGGTGCAGGGAGCATGCAGTGCATGTCTATGGATGCCCGTATGGGTGCGCTGGTATGAGTGAGTGTGTTGTCATAGGTGTGTGGCGGCGGCATCTGCACGCCCAACGCCACAGCGCTCATCGCAGCGCAGACGGTCAACCCCGACACGGCGCCGTTCTACTGCCTTGGGGCGTCCATGGACCCTGCTATGGGTGAGTGCGCTGGGGGGTGCACTGCGGTGCGGTGCGGTGCAGGGAGCATGCAGTGCATGTCTATGGATGCCGTTATGGGTGAGTGCGCTGGTATGAGTGAGTGTGTTGTCATAGGTGTGTGGCGGCGGCATCTGCACGCCCAACGCCACAGCGCTCATCGCAGCGCAGACGGTCAACCCCGACACGGCGCCGCTCTACTGCCTTGGGGCGTCCATGGACCCTGCTATGGGTGAGTGCGCTGGGGGTTGCACTGTGGTGCGGTGCGGTGCAGGGAGCATGCACTGCATGTCTATGGATGCCCTTATGGGTGAGTGCGCTGGTATGAGTGAGTGTGTTGTCATAGGTGTGTGGCGGCGGCATCTGCACGCCCAACGCCACAGCGCTCATCGCAGCGCAGACGGTCAACCCCGACACGGCGCCGCTCTACTGCCTCGGGGCGTCCATGGACCCTGCTATGGGTGAGTGCGCTGGGGGGTGGGGTGTGTGGAGCGGTATGCTTGCGGCTCTCGAGTTATGCTGTTTGGATTGATCATTGATTCAGCACTGCTGTGTCTCTCTGCAGCCACGTTACTCCCGCATGCTCACCCACCCATGCTGTGTGCGCCTCCAGCGGCGGCGCTGCTGAACGTGAGGGCAGCACTTGGAGTGATGCTCACGGACTGCTGCCTCTCCGTCCCTCCCCTGCCATTCCTCACCTCTCCCCCATTACCATTCAATCCCAACCTTAGCGGCGGCGCTGCTGAACGTGAGGGCGGCACTTGGAGTGATGCTCACGGACTGCTGCATCTCTGTCCCTCCCCTGCCATTCCTCACCTCTCCCCCATTACCATTCAATCCCAACCTTAGCGGCGGCGCTGCTGAACGTGAGGGCGGCACTTGGAGTGATGCTCACGGACTGCTGCCTCTCTGTCCCTCCCCTGCCATTCCTCCCCTCTCCCCCATTACCATTCAATCCCAACCTTAGCGGCGGCGCTGCTGAACATGAGGGCATCGCTGGGGGTGACGTTCACGGACTGGGCGCTGGACTCGCCGTGCACCATCCAGGGGCTGCCGCCGCTGCCAGGCGCCTGGTCCAACGTCATCTGCAACGTCTCCGGCAAAGTCATGTCCATGTGAGTGGCAAAGTCATGTCCATGTGAGTGCCTCTTGGAGCTGAGTCATGTCGCTGTGAATGCCTCTTGGGTTGGGGCAAAGTCATCTCGCTGTGAGTACCTCACTGCACTCACCTTGACGCGCCTCTCTTCGTGCTTTGGTGACTGCTTAGAACTGCTGAAACACTTGTCTGCGAGACTCACGTTTCACATGTGTCCTTGTGGGTGTCCTTTCCATGTGTGTATGCATGACCATTGGCAACATACAGCAATCTGGCGCAGCAGAAGCTCCAAGGGACTATGCATGCGGACATCTCCAAGCTCACCGCTCTCACTTACATGTAAGCAGCTGCATGTGCATGTGATCAGCTCACGCAGATGTGTGCCGCCCAACTGCCTGCTCAGAGTAATTTCGCTTGTACTCTTGCGCTTGACCTTGAGTGTGCGCGCGCTTCGGTGCCAACTTTCGTTCATCCCGCACTGTTCATCTATCACCTCTGTTTACATGTGAGGTTTGAGACGTCTCAAAATTGGTGCCAACTTTCGTTCATCCCGCTCCGTTCATCTATCACCTCTGTGCTTGCATGCGCCCAGCTCCCGCGCAGCAATCTGTGCTCCAACTTGCTGGAGAGTTGTCTGGAAGTCTTCGCTTGTGCTTGCCCTTGCCCTTGTCCTTGTCTCTGCTGCCATCGTTGAATCCTCACCCCCCTGTGCTTGCATGCGCCCTGGCTTCTCTCCCCTCGCAGTAATCTGCGCTCCAACCTGCTGGAGGGCCGTCTGGACGTCTTCACGACCAACTTCAAGGCGCTCACGGCGCTCAAGGAAGCGTGAGTGCCGCCTGCATGGAATGGCACCACCGCACTGCACCGCGCCGCACCGCACTGCATGCCCTTGCCTCAAGCGTTCCTGCCACCCCATCCCCTTCGTGTCATCTCCGTATAGCGTCAACCTCCGCATGCTTCCCGCCCTTGACGCCCTACCTTACCTACACTCTCTCCTCCCCTCCTTGCATCCCTTGGCGTCTCCCCCTTCGCCCCCTGCAGCTACTTTGACTTCAACTGGTTCACAGGGCCGATCCCGTCCACCCTAGTCACCATCGCGACCCTCTCCACCTTGTGAGTCTCGCCGGTCCTTGCTTTGGGATGGGACGTCAACTTTTTTAAACAACACAGATATTGAGTAACTAAGAATCGTCCGCGCTCGTCACCATCACCACCCTCTCCGCCTTGTGTTGAATTTTGAGGCGCCTCAAAATTCAACTTTTGAGGGGCCTCAAAATCGTCCGCGCTCGTCACCTTCAACACCCTCTCTGCCTTGTAGATCCCACCTCTCCCTGCCTTGGGATGGGACAGTTCCCTCCTCAGGACTGCTTTCCTTGCGAGTTTCTAACCCAGTGCTAGCCCCAAATGGCACTCACGTCCCGCTGCTCCCAAGTACATTGAGTCTCTTGCACGTAGACGCCCTGCTCCCCTCGTTCCCTATCACACCACCGCCTTTCCGCCCCTGCTCTTCGGCTCTCTAACACACCGTGCCTGCCCTTCACTGAAGCCTCATGTTCTCCCCTCACGTGCTTCCACACTAACTCCTCCTTGCCCACCCTCCCTCCCCCTTCCCCCCACCCCACCCCCCACCTGCAGTGGTGCGAGCTACAACTACCTGTACGGTTCCATTCCCGCTCCAGGCGCGGCACTCAAGGCCATAGCGCTGGACGGCAACTGGCTGTCGGGCACCTTCCCTGGAACCGGCTTCTCCTCCTGCTCCGCCACCAGCAACTGCCTCGCCAGCATCGGCGCCTGCACCACGCTCGGCACCGTGCAGCGCGCCGCCGCCGCCTGCGCCGTCTGCGACACCGCAGACGGCTCAGGCACCGTGTGCGGCGGCGGCACGTGTGCACCCGACACAGCTGCGCCTCTCAGCACCAGCACCCCCAACAGCGCGACGGCGGCGGTGCTGCCGTGGTTCTGCGTCGGCGTGCCACTGGACGCCACGCAGGGCAACATCCTGCTGGCGCTCAAGACCACGCTGGGCGCCACCTTCTCTGATTGGACCGCCTCCACACTCGCCGCCCCCAAGGCCACCTCCACCAAGCCCAAGAAGGGGCCCAAGCGCCGGTCCCTGCAAGGGAGGGGGTCAGGGCTGCTGTACGACTGGAAGGCGGTGGGGTCGTGCACCATCCAGGGCCAGACGCCCATTGCTGGCTCTTGGACTGGCGTGCGCTGCTCTCCGCTCGGCCAAGTCGTCAGCCTGTGAGTGCCGCCGCTTCTGCTGCCCTCCCTCTCCCTATGTTACCCCACCGTGCCTGTGCACCGCTGGCGCTTCTCCGGCTGCCTTTCACTCACCTCTCTCCCTGCCCCTGTGTGCTTCTGCTGCTGCTCCGTGCGCCCCCTGTTGCTGCCTGAAACCCGGTGAGCAGGGACCTGAGGAGCCAGCTGTTGAGTGGCACCGTGCACTCCGACATCAGCAAGCTCTCCACCCTCACCTCGCTGTAAGCCGCCCCTTACGTTGCAGTAAGCCATCCATCAACTCGCAGTGAGCCGTGTGGTCATTGTGTGAGGACTGCCTTGTGGTGCCCACGTCCGATGCCACCAGCTGTGCTGCTCGCTGTAGCCGCTTGTCAGTGTCTCAGCCTCAACACGGCAACACAAGCCTGCCCTCTCTCTCGCGCCCTTCTTCCACGTCCCTCCCCCACGCCCCTCCCCCACGCCCCTCCCCCACGCCCCTCCCCCACGCCCCTCCGCCACCCCCCTGGTCCTGTGTGCAGGCGGCTGTCGTCCAACCTCTTCGTTAGCCGCCTCGACTCCTACATCGTGCCCATCACGCCCCTCCCCCCACGCTCTCCTCCTTCCACCCCTTATAACCCCCCTACCCTTTATAACCCCCCTGCATCAACCCCCCAACCATGCATGCAGGCGGCTGTCGTCCAACCTCTTCTTCAGCCGCCTCGACTCCTACATCGTGCCCATCACGCCCACCGCCAGCCTCAAGGAGCTGTCAGTGCCACCACGCCTCCGCCCCTCCATGCCCATTCCCCCCCTTGCATGCCCCCACCCTCTCTAGTTGCCTCTTCGCACCTCTCTGCTCTTACTGCTCTTTCTGCTCTTTCTGCTCTCTCTGCTCTTACTGCTCTTTCTGCTCTTTCTGCTCTTTCTGCTCTTTCTGCTCTTTCTGCTCTTGTGCTTGTTTACTTCGGCTTTCTGCTGTCCACCCGTTCTCAAAACATTGTTCCACCCGTTCCACCCGTTCCACCCGTCCACATGTATGTGTGCATGTGTGTGTGCATGTTCTATGGCACTGTCCCTCGTTTGTGCCTCAGCTGGTTCAATTATGTGTATGTCTGTGTGCGTGCTCCCTCGTCCTCCCCGTCCCCCCTCCTCCCCAACCCCCCACCAGCCACATCAACTTCAACTGGTTCTATGGCACCGTCCCCACCACGCTCGTCAACATGCCAGCCCTCTCCATTCTGTAAGCCTGCACCCCACACCCTCCAGTTTTGAGGTGTCTCTAAACGGCCCTCTCCATTCCGTAAGCCCGCACCGCCCCCCACACCCTCCTCCACTCAACATCCTTTCCCCACCTAACCCACTGCCCCATCGCTCTCACTCCTTCACGTCGCTTCAAGCTCCCCTCCACCCACCCGTTCCTAACACACAGCCGATGCTTCGCCTGCGTTGGTGCGTGCGTGCAACTCTTCCCCCAAACCCCAGTGTGGTGAGCTACAACTACCTCACAGGCACACTGCCCAAGCCAGGGGCATCACTCAAGGCGCTCGACACAGAGTTCAACTTCCTCTCAGGCTCCTTCCCCGTCGCCTCTCTCGCCTACTGCACAGCCCGCAGCAACTGCTTCGTCAACGCCACCGCGTGCCTGAACCTTGACGGGACCGTGCAGAGGGGCACAGGCTGCAACGTGTGTGGGTCCAGCAATGGGCAGCTGCCGCTGTGTGGTGGGGCGGTGTGCACGCCCGACCCCTCGGCGTATGTGACGTCCAAAGTACCCAACAGCGCCTCCGCTCCCACCCTCGCCCTCAAGTGCCCTTCCTTGCCCCTCGATGCCACGAGCTGTGAGTGCTCCCCTGCCCATGCCGTGCCCACTGCACCGCACAGCGCTGCCATGCCTTGCACCGGCCCACTCTTGCGCCTGCAGTGTGCCATGCTGCCATGCTGCCTGCTGCCTTACCTGCTACTCAGATGTGTATGTACGTATGGGAGTGCGTGGGCGTGCATGCACACTTGCTCACCCGTTTCTCCTCACGCTGCCCCCCCCCACCATCTCCACCCCCCCACTCCCGCTCCTCCTGCATGTGTCCGCTGGTGAACATAGGGGCGGCGCTGGTGAACATAGGGGCGGCGCTGGTGAACATAGGGGCGGCGCTGGGAGTGACGCACAGATTCTCACCAATGTCTTGTTTCCTTTCTTCTGTGCGTGCTGCTGCCCCCCCTCACTCCTCTGCCTTCGCCCTGTGAGCAGCGGCGGCGCTGGTGAACATAGGGGCGGCGCTGGGAGTGACGCACACGGACTGGAGTGCCAGCAGCGGCTGCAGCATCCTGGGGCAGAGCCCCGCACCCAAGTCCTGGCCGGGCGTCTGGTGCAGCGGCAGCGGCGCCGTCGTCTCCCTGTGAGCCTCACCCTCCCTCCGTCTCGCTCTCCTCTCTCTGTCCTCACCCGCTTGAAACGTTTTTTTTTTTGTAACATGTGAATCTTGGCAAGTAAGACTAACGCGGCCAGAAACAAACGGAACGTGAATGTCAAGTTACGAGGACATGATGAGGGCATGATGAGAAGTGGAAGGAAGATGCACATTTGTTTGGCTCTCTGTATGTCTCTCCTTCCCAGGAGCTTCGCCTCTCATGCCACTCATATACCTCCACTCGCCCCACCCGCTGTGTGCATGTGGCCGTGGCAGCATTCTGGACAACCAGAAGCTTCGAGGCACCATCCATGCAGACATGACCAAACTCACCAGTCTCACCTATCTGTATGTGCATCACCCACCTGTATGCGCATCACCCACCTGTATGTGCATCACCCACCTGTATGTGCATCACCCACCTGTATGTGCATCACCCACCTGTATGTGCATCACCCACCTGTATGCGCATCACCCACCTGTATGCGCATGGCCTCATACCCAGCCGTTATTTCTGCTCTCCCCCATTCTCCCATGCTCGCCAGCCCGCCACCTATTCACTCCCCCCCTCCCTCCCCTCTCCCAAGTGCTCGCTCACCCCCCCGATGCTCCTTTCCCCCCGCCCCCCCTCCACCCTCCCCCTCCTTCCCTGTGGGCAGGCATCTGGGGTACAATCTGCTGTACGGCCGCCTTTCCACCTTTGTCTCCAACATCACGCCGCTCACCTCCATTGTCACCCTGTGCGTCCCCTCGCCCCTCTCCTCCCCTTCCACCCTCATCTCACATGCCTCCCACCCTCATCTCACATGCCTCCCACCCTCATCTCACATGCCTCCCACCCTCATCTCACATGCCTCCCACCATCCGCTCACATGCCTCCCACCATCCGCTCACCTTCCCCTCACTTTGCCAACCTTTTCTAGCACTACCTTCCTTTTCCCCTCTCTTTGCTCACGCGTCCTCCTCTCCATGTGTGTGCGCCCCCCCCACATGTGTGCGCCTCTCTGCATGTGTGCGCCTCTCTGCATGTGTGCGCCTCTCTGCATGTGTGCGCCTCTCTGCATGTGCGTCAACCTCTCGCCCGCCAGCAACCTCAACTTCAACTACCTCTACGACAGCGTGCCCTCCACTCTGCTCAACATGGCATGACTCACAGAAATGTCAGTTGCAATCACTCCCATCGGTAACAGTTACAGGCTTTTGGGTCGACTCAAAAGTCACTCTGCTCAACATGGCATCACTCACAGAAACGTCAGTTGCAATCACTCCCATCGGTAACAGTTACAAGCTTCAAGACGGCTGTCAGGACGGCCGTCAGGATGGCTGTCGGGATGGCTGTCAGGTGCTGAAATGGCTGTCAGGTGCTGAAATGGCTGTCAGGTGCTGGATTGGGTTGGTGGGTGGGTGTGAGTGATGCCTCTGCCCTAATTGAAGTGCCCTTGGTCCTCATGTGTTGGAACACCAAGCTATGGCTACCCGAGCTGCATGTGTGCGCCTCAAGCTCAAGCTATGGCTACCCAGCTCAAGCTCAGGCACCTGGCCGTCAGCCACAACTTCTGAGACGTCTCAGAACTCTTTCACTCACAAGTCACCACCTGTCCACCTCCCCTCCCAGTTTTAAGTCGACTCAAAACCTGTCCACCACTCTTCCCCGCTCCCCTCCTCCCCGAAACCCCCCCGTGCAGCCGTCTGAGTGCCAACTACCTGACGGGCACGCTGCCAGCTGTGCCCACCAAGCTCAAGTACCTGGCCGTCAACCACAACTTCTTCGCCGGCGCCTTCCCCAATCAAGCCTTCCAGTTCTGCGACATCCGCAACAACTGCTTCTCAAACCTTGGCACCTGCTACAACGCCTACGGCGTGGCTCAGCGCACCTCCGGCTGCAACATCTGCGCCACCAGCAACGCCGCCCCACCCCTCTGCAGCGGCGCTCCCTGTATTCTCAACGCCACGAGTGTTCTGGCGGCTGGCACGGTGAACAGCCTCACGGCGGTCGTGCAGCCCTTCTACTGCGGACCTGCCATCATCGATGCCACTGCTGGTGAGTGCACACCCACATCTCTGCGTCACATGCGCTCCGTGTGTTCTCAACGCTATGGCCCCCCCGGCGGCTGGCGCAGTGAACAGTCTCACGACACCCGTGCAGCCGTTCTATTGTGGACCCGCCATCATTGACGCCACTGCTGGTAAGCCTGCACTTGTTGCTGGGTGTTTTTGAGAATTCTCAAAAACACCCGGCTGGCACGGTGAACAGTCTCACGACACCCGTGCAGCCGTTCTATTGTGGACCCGCCATCATTGACGCCACTGCTGGTGAGCCCACCCGCCCTGCCTGCCTGCACGTTCCATATGCAGCTAGAGGCAGCTCATGCAGACACTTGCACTCATGCACACACACATGTGCACTCATGCACACACACATGTGCACTCATGCACACACATGTGCACTCATGCACACACATGCGCTCATATGCACGCACATGCGCTCATATGCACACACATGCGCTCATATGCACGCACATGCGCTCATATGCATGCACATGCGCTGATATACAACACTCATCGTGCTTCTTCTTGTCTTCCTCTCCCCTCACTGCCCTCCCTGTTGCCTCGCCTCGCCTCAACCCGCCCTTCTTCCCCTCAACCCCCTCTTCTTCCCCTCTTTTGTCCGTGCAATGGCAGCGCAAGCGCTGCTGGTGCTGAGGGCGGCGCTGGGAGTGACGCAGACGAGCTGGCTGGTGGACTCGCCGTGCGACATCGCGGGCAACCCGCCCATGCCCGGCAGCTGGGCGGGCGTTGCCTGTGACACCACTGGCAAAGTCGTACAGCTGTGAGTGCCGCACGCCCTGCATGCCCTTGCCCATGCTGTGTTGCTTTTGAGACGCCTCACAAATCATGCCCGGCAGCTGGGCGGGCGTTGCCTGTGACGTCACGGGCCAAGTCGTACAGCTGTGAGTGCCGCACGCCCTGCATCGTGTGTCCTGCATTTTACTGTTGTTTCTCTGCAATAAATGCAGGTGCGTTCCACTGTTGTTTCTCTGCAATGAATGCAGGTGCATTTCCCTTTTTTCTTTTCTCTCTGGCCTGCCACTGTGCCTTTGGTCCGCTGACTCATTCCTCTGCTTTGATGCTCGCATGGCATGGTGGTATTGTGACGTCACCCCAGGGAGCTGCCCAATCAGGGGCTGCGGGGAGATCTGCCCGCTGACGTCTCCAAGCTCACTGCCCTCACCCGCATGTGAGTGCCCCTCCCTCTGCACTCGCTTCTGCACACTCTCCCACTTGAGACCCGCGCCCCATTATCTTGCAACCCCCACTTCTGCTTACCGTGCTGAATGCCCCATGTTTCTTCATGCGAGCGCCATACCCACGCCATGTGCTCTCATCCTCCCTCCCATCCCCTCTCTCCTCTCCCTCCCTCTCCCATCCCTCCCACCAACCCACAGCAGCATGGCGTCCAACCTGGTGGAGGCACGCCTGGGCGAGTGGGCCACGGTGCTCACCACGCTCAAGACCTCCCTTGAGTCGACTCACAGCTTCCCTCGCCCTCGTGTTTTGCCCCCATAAACCCCACCCTCCTCCTTGCTCCCCGGCAGCAACATGGCGTCCAACCTGCTGGAGGCACGACTGAACGAGTGGGCCACGGTGCTCACCACCCTCAAGGGGCTCAAGCACCTGTCAGTGCCCGCCCTTCCCTTCCCTGCCCTGCACCCCCTGCCTTGCCTGCCCTCCCTGCCCTGCCCTCCCTGCCTTGCCTGCCCTCCCTGCCTTGCCTGCCCTCCCTGCCCTGCCCTCCCTGCCTTGCCTGCCCTCCCTGCCTTGCCTGCCCTCCCTGCCCTGCCCTCCCTGCCTTGCCTGCCCTCCCTCCCCTGCCCTCCCTGCCTTGCCTTCCCTCCCTGCCTTGCCTGCCCTCCCTGCCTTGCCTGCCCTCCCTGCCTTGCCTGCTCTCCCTGCCTTGCCTGCCCTCCCTGCCCTGCCCTCCCTGCCTTGCCTGCCCAACCTGATCTCTCCCTCCCCGTCCCTGCCTGCCTGCCCTGCCTTGCCCTCTCTCTCTGATCTGCCCTTCTTGACCTGCCCTGCCCTGCCCTGCGTTGTCCTGCCTTCCTTGTGCTGGCAAGTCCACCTGTCTCCCGCCTTTTCATTTCTCCAACGTCTCCACCCCTCTCCATCCCTTCCCACCCCTCCCAAACAGCGCTCTCAACTACAACTGGTTCTCCGGCCCTCTGCCGTCCTACCTGCTCACTCTCTCGACCCTCACAACGCTGTATGTGGCACCCACTCTCCAATGCTGTAACCTGCATTTCAACTATCTCACAGGCAGCATCACCGTCACCATCAGTAACACATGCCACTCACCATTCTCTCTTCTCCCACCCCACCCTCACCCCTTTCCCCTGCTCTCCCTCCTACAGCAACTTACAATTCAACTACCTCACCGGCAGCATCACAGGCGTCCCAGCAGCAGCCCTCAAGACCATAAACGTGGCGTCCAACTTCCTGGCGGGCTCCTTCCCAGCCTCCTCCACCACCATGTGTGACGCGCGCAACAACTGCCTGCTCGACGCCTCCAAGTGTGTCTCCTCGGGCTCCTCCGCGCAGCGCACTGCCACCGCCTGCATGATCTGCGGCTATGCAAACGCGTCCACGCTGCTGTGCGGTGGGGGGGTGTGTGCGCCGAATACTACCCTGGTGCTGCCGACAAAGACGCCCAACAGCGCTTCTGCTGCCGTGCTGCCACTCATGTGCACTGGCGTTCGCGTCGACCCTGCTGCCCGTGCGTTGCTCTTCCCCCTCCTTCACCCTGCTCCCTTGCCCTGCTCCTTTAGCCTGCTCTGCTGCCCGTGAGTCCCTCTGCCTCCTCCCACTGCCTCCTCCCTCTGCCTCCTCCCTCTGCCTCCTCCTTTTGCCTCCTCCCTCTGCTTGCTCTGCTGCTCACACACCCTCCTCCCTCTCCCATGTGCCATACACTCTGCCACCTCTGCGTTCCGCTCCCGCTCACCCACTCTCCCTCTCGGCCTCTTCACCCCCCTGGATCCCCCTGCGCGCCTCCTTGCGTCCCCACTCCCCGCAGTGCCGATTCTGGCAAACCTGAAAACAGCGCTGGGAGTGCCGCACCAAGGGTGGGGCGTGCAGACGCTGTGCACGGTGACGGGCATCTACAGGGGCCCGCAGGACATGTCGGCAGTCAACTGCAACATACAGGGCGGCGTGGTCGACATCTTCCTCAAGCAGCGCTTCATGTGTGGCACCATGCACCCCGACATCTCCAAGTTCACCGCCCTCACCGCCCTGTCAGTCCCCTCTCCGCCTTGTCGGTCCACCCACCCATCACTAATTAATTGAGACTCTTGTGGAGACCCATGGCTTGCAGGGGTCCGAACCAAGCCCTTGTATCTACCATGCATGGCACCATGCACTCCGACATCTCCAAGTTCACCGGTCTCACCGCCCTGTCAGTGCACCCATTATTCTCTAGATGAGGTTTTTGTGGAGACCCACGGCTTGCTGCGGCTCGAACCGTTTTTTCTACCATGGTGGCACCATGCACCCCTCCGTTTCCATGTTTCCAGCCCTCACTGTCGTGTCAGCGCCCTCTCGCCTGCTCCCATCGTCTATAATTGAGTCACTTTTCAGAGTTCTCAGTAAAGAATTCTCAAAAGAAACTTTTCAAAGCAGCGCTTCATGCGCGGCACCATGCACCCCGACATCTCCAAGCTCACCGCCCTCACCGCCCTGTCAGCAAGGAGACGATGCTTTAGTCGAATAACATTCAGCTCACAGCCCCCCCTCACTGCCCTGTCAGTGCCGCTCGCTCCCTCCTGCCGGGTATACCTGCCCGCAGCTCATCTCCGCCACTCATTCCCGTCAAGCAACTTCCTGCCTGTCACTCCGTGCCCTCTGCAGGGACAATTCAGGCAACTTTTTGTCGGGCCCATTGGACCCTTTAATCTCGCTGGTTTTCATCCAACTAAAAAGTCATTCCCCACTTCCAAACCGCCCCCTTCCCTGCTGTCTCCCTACAGGGGCATGTCGAGCAACTTCCTGCCGGGCCTGCTGGACCCCTTTCATCGCGCTCCTCATTCCCGCAGGGGCATGTTGATCAACTTCCTTCCTGTCTCTGCCCTGCTCCGTGCCCCCCTACAGGGACATGTCGAGCAACTTCCTGTCGGGCCGGCTGGACCCCTTCATCACGCCGCTCACCGGCCTCACCGCGCTGAAATACCTGTACGCGCTCCACCCTGCCCCCGTTCTCTCTTCTCCCGCTCGCTCCTGCAATCCTTGTTCGTCGCTGTTCTCTGCGCCCTCGTCCCGCCTGTCTCTGCTCGTCCGTAATATGCCGCATCCCCCCTCTCTCCCCCTCCCTCCCTCCCCACCTCCTGTGAGCCGCGGCGCAGGGTGATGAGTTACATTGAGTTGATTTTTGAGGCCCCTCAGAAATCCTCTCCCTCCTTCCCCACCCACCTCCTGCGAGCCGCAGCGTAGGGTGATGAGTTACATTGAGTTGATTTTTGAGGCGCCTCAGAAATCCCCTCCCTCCCCACCCACCTCCTGCGAGCCGCGGCGCAGGGTGATGAGTTACATTGAGTTGATTTTTTGGCTCCTCAGAAATCCCCTCCCTCCCCACCCACCTCCTGTGTGCCATGCCGTGGTGCAGCGTGATGAGTTACAACTTCTTCTCGGGCTCCCTCCCCTCCACCATCTCCTCCATCAAGGGCCTATACATGCTGTGAGTACCCTCCACTCCACCTCAGACCCTCCCCCCACAAGCACCCTGTCTTTCGAAGATTCTCAAAAGTCACACCAGCTTGTCTCACATGCTATGAGCCCCCTAAATATCCCCTCCACCATCTCCGCCATCAAGAGCATCCACATGCTGTGAGTACCCTCCACCTCCCCCCACTCAACTGCCCTTCCCTAATTCCATCTTTCCTTTGATGCTGTGAGCGCCCTCAACCTCTCCCCCGCAACCACCCTGTCCAAATTCCCTGCACTCGCTCTCCCCTCTGCATGCCCTCTGTTCTGCCTTGCTGTGGGATGGGATGCACCATGAAACCACACCCACCCATATCCCACCCCGTCCCCACGTGCTGCGCGTGCACGTGTGTGCATGCGTGTGTGTGGCGTGTGCGCACATGTGGTGCGAGCAGGAGCGTGGGGTAGAACTACCTGACAGGATCGCTGCCGGTGCTGGGATTTGGAGTTGGGAGTAGAATTACTTTAACTCGCCAGCTGGCTCTTTTGCACCCCTCTCCCACCCCGTTCCCCCATGCTGCATGCGTGTGTGTGCATTCGGCGAATGCAGGAGCGTGGGGTGGAACTACCAGACCCGGTCGGTGCCAGTGCTGGACACAGCTCTGCAGGTTTTTCAGCAATCTCAAAAATTGTGTGTGCGTGTGCGTGTGTGCGTGTGCGAGCAGGAGCGTGGGGTGGAACTACCTGACAGGGTCGGTGCCGGTGCTGGGAACATCAACCCTGCAGGTGCTGGATCTGGAGAACAACTGGCTCACCGGCAAATTCCCCTCCACTGCCAACTGGTACTTCTGCACGGCGCGCGCCAACTGCTTCATCGACCCCACGCCGTGCAAGAACAACAACAACCAGGGCATCACGCAGCGGCCGTCCTGTGCCATTTGTAACAGCGCGGATGGAACGGGCACGTTGTGCGGTGGGATTGTGGCCTGCCAGCCAGACCCGGCAGCTGTGAAGGCTGCTACTTCCTTCCCAACGACCAGCACTCCTGTGCTGCCGCTCACCTGCCCGCCTGTTCCGCCCGTCACCACCGACGCCACTGCAGGTACGTCTGTGGCTGTGCGTCATGCTTCTGCTGCCACCATCACCTGCTGTCCCAAGTCCATGCGATTCACCACTGCTGCCCGTGTGCTTGCCCATGCGTCTCACTGCTGCTGCTGCTGCCCATACGCATGCCTGTGCATCATCTCTCACGCCTCCCCACTCCATGTGCTTGCCCATGCCTCTCATCACACCTGCCCGTGTGCTCCACCGCCCCCGCCACCAGCATCGGCACTGATGAACATCAAGACGGCGCCGGGAGTGACGTACACGAGCTGGGCAGCCTCCTCCTCCTGCACTGCTGTCGGCAGCTTGATTTTTTAGTATTCGGCGCATGCCCATGTGTCTCACCCCTGCTGTCCGTGTGCCCCTGTGCCCTTTTCCACCAGCATCGGCGCTGATGAACATCAAGACGGCGCTGGGAGTGACGTACACCAGCTGGGCGCCTTCATCCTCCTGCACTGCTGCCTGTGTGCATGCCCATGCCTCTCACCGCTGCTGCCACGTGCCCCTTTCCCTCCATGCACCCCAACCCCCACCCCCCCCACCGCCCCCGCCACCAGCATCGGCACTGATGAACATCAAGACGGCGCTGGGAGTGACGTACACCAATTGGGCAGCCTCCTCCACCTGCACTGATGTTGGCAGCGCGGGTGGTGGTGGCTTCACTGGCGTTGAGTGTGACTCCCTCGGCAACCCCGTCAAGATGTGAGCATGAAGCATTCTCGAGGCGTTTAATTGTGATTTTTAGGCGCCTCATTACCGTCGGTTCCCCTAGATCAGTCACCCCATGCTGCTCCCACCATTGCTCACTTTTCCTTCACTCTCTCCACTTGCTCCCACCTTCCCACGTCCTCCCCTCCACCACCCCCTCCTCCCCATATACAGCACCCTGGACAATCAGAAGCTGTTTGGCATTCTGCATGCTGACATCACCAAGCTCACGGCACTCACATTCATGTAAGCACTCACATTCACAGATTCTCATCAAAACGAGGTGACTTTTGAGTCGACTCAAAAGTCACCTCACTTGTCTCCTCCGTTCTGGCCATCCACAGATTCTCATCAAAACGCAACTCTACTCTCAAACACCTTCCTATTCCTCTCTTCCTTTCCGCCTTCTCTCCCTTCTCCCCTCCTTGCTGTGTGTGCCACTGTGTGTGATTGCTGCAGAACACTCAAGTCCAACTTCTTCAAAACTCCCCTGGACGAGTTCCCCTGCAGAATTCCTCTTGAGGTGCCTCAAAAGCCTCGCTCCTCCTCTCACTTCCCCCAATTCCACCCCCAACCCCTGCCCACTGTGTGCCACCGCATGCATACTCCAGTTCGCTCAAGTCGAACCTCTTCAGGGCGCGTCTGGATGAGTTCTCCAGCAGGATTCCTGCGCTGCCCAACCTCGCAGTGCTGTGAGTCCCCTCCTGGCCCTGCAGGGAGGCTCATTGCTGTGCATTGGTCGTTCTACCTCTACTCGGCTTACCGCGGGTCACCGCTCGGTCCACAGCGCCACTTGTTGCGCCAACTTACCCCCACACCACATCGTGTCTTCCTGCCATATCCCCACTGCCCATGTCCTTCTGAGGCGGCTCAAAGCTGCGACTTTTTTTTCCGGTTTGTATTGTGTGTGTTCTTTCTCAAAGGAACCGAGTGTGTATGGAAGTTTTACTCAGATGCTCTCGTGTGTTATTCATGGCATTTCTTTTTCCCCACCCCCCCCCCCCCCCCCCCCCCCCCCCTCCCCACCCCCCCTCCCCCCCGTTATGGCATCGGTTTTGGATGTGCATGTGTCTCCTGCAGCCTACTGGACTTCAACTGGTTCTTTGGCAGTCTGCCCCCTGCAGTCATCGGCATGCCCAAGCTCACACGCCTGTCAGTCCCTCTCCTACCACCACCCCCCCATTGCGCTTCGCTTCCCTGCTTCTTTTTCTTACCTGGTTTCAACCAAACGGGTCATTTATGCGCCTCTATCAATCCTTTCTCCTCCAACCTTCATCCTCTCTCCCTCCCCTCATTCCCACCCGACTCCCCTCTCATCCTGCTCGCACCAGTGGCCTGTCCTACAACTACCTCACATACCGTGTGCCGCCGGTGTCAGCAGCAATCAAAGACCTCGACGTGGGCTTTAACTTCCTCTCAGGCTCCTTCCCGGCCAACACTGCCACGTCATGCGGCGCCAACAGCAACTGCTTCCAGAGCGCCGCCACGTGCGCCACCAAGGGCACGGCGCAGCGCACGTCCGGGTGCAATTTCTGCCAGGCCAGCACGGGGCAGGGCATGCTGTGCTACGGCCGCGGCGTCTGCACCGTCAACGCCTCCGTGCCCTTTGCTGCCGGCACGCCCAATGCTGTCGGCGCTCCCACGCTGCCCTTTACTTGCGTCAGTAAGTGCCTACTTTTGAGTCATCTAAAAAATCGAAAAACGCTTCCGTGTCCTTTGCTGCTGGCACGCCTAATGCTGTCGGTACTGCCACGCTGCCCTTTACTTGCGTCAGTAAGTACGGGGTGCTCAGAGAGACAGGCCGGGGAGGAGGGGGGAGCTGAGATGGTGCTGACGCTGGTGCACCTGAGGCTGGTCCTGTTGTCATGTCAGCACTTCCTTTCCTTCTGTTGCAACGCACTGTCTCCTCCCTCTCACTGTCTCCTTGTGCCCTGCCCACCTGCCCACCTGTGCCTGTGTGTGGGCGTGCAGACATTGTGTGTGGCACCGACTAACGCTGCCATCTCAGTACTGCCTTCGGTTTCTTACTCTCTCTCTCTCTCTCTCTCTCTCTCTCTCTCTCTCTCTCTCTCTCTCTCTCTCTCTCTCTCTCTCTCTCTCTCTCTCTCTCTCCCTCCCCCTCTCTTCTCTCTCCCTCCTTGTGGCCCACCTGCGCCTGTGTGTGTGTGTGCAGACACCGTGTGCGGCTCTGCCTCGCCGGTCCTCTGTCCCAACGACTGGCGCTGCGCTGGTCTGCAGTGTATCATGAACTTTGTCAACTGCGTTGGCTACCTCTGCGTCTAGAGTTTTGACGTGCATCAAACTGCGTCGGCTTTTGAGGCGCCTTAAACTGCGCTGGTCTCCAGTGTGTGGTGAACTTTGTCAACTGCGTTGGCTACCTCTGCGTCTAGAGGTGGCCATTCACTCTGCTTGCCTGCCGGACGCCTTGCCTTGCTGCAAGGCTGTCTGCTTTGGTGCAGTGCTAACTGGTCTGACGCAGGGCTAATTGCTTTCCTGCAGCGCTACTCATTGCTTGCAGCAGCGCTAATAGCGTTTGCTGCAGCTCTAATTGCTTTCCTGCAGCGCTGGTTGCTTTGGCTGGTCGTCTCGTCATTGGTTAGCGCTGTGAAGCCTCCTAGTTGGCCTTTGATTCCAGGAATGTCATTTAGCCATTAATGTTGGGTGAACATGTCTGCGGATTGGACAACTATTTGACAGGATTGCAGCTATACCTGATTTCATATCACTTTGAATTCAGTGACAATATTGTGTTTCCGGTCCTGAAATGTCGGTGCTGAGGGGTATTGTGGGGAATTGACATGCTAAGAGGTGTACCTGTCTAGATGTTGCTGATGTGCAGTGGCGTGGATTGCTCGAAATACTAAGCCCACGGCGAGAAATATGTACAAAATTCCTTGACATGTTGTAACGAGGATGTGGGGGTGGGTGAAATAGACTTGAAATGAGTTTGTGCTCAGTAGTACATGGTACAGCAAGCAACATGGCACAGCAACCTCTCGCTGAGAAATTATGTCACATGTGCACACATCACACATACTCCTGAAATTGCTTCAGCAAAACCCTGCTACAGGGTTGTACCTCCTTTGAGCTATAGGAGTTAAGGTCCCACTTCCACATTCCCTCCTCCCTCCTCCCCTCTCTCCTCCCCTCTCCCGTCCCCTCTCTCGTCCCCTCGTCCCTTCTCTCTCCTCTCCCCCACCACCCGAAGCAGTTGCATCTCCCTCTTCAACTCCCTCAGCATCTCCCCAAACCCTTCCCGCTCCCTCCGAGCTTCCTCCCGAGCCTCTCGTGCCTCACGCCGAGCCTCCTCAAGCTCCTGTCGTGCCTGCTCCCAGGCCTCCCGCCGAGCCTCCTTCCGAGCAGCATCCACCTCTCGCCGCACCTGCTCCGTCCAAACCTCACGACCCGCCTTCTCATGACCTTGGTTCGGTAACCGATCCATAATCCCACGTTCGAGCTCATCAAACCTCTGAGTCAGGTCTGTTTGGAGGGCTCCCATTCGCTCTTGCAATGCCAGCATGTCTCGCTTTTGCCGAGACATGGCCACAGCTGAGCTTGCACGGGCCATGAGGTCGGAACGGGACAGGTTCTCTCCTGTCTCCGAGAGAAGGACTTTGACGAGTGCAGGGAGGTCGATGGATTCCAGGTGGTGGGTGTAGCGAGGAGGGACAGAGCGCAGCTGTTGGGTGGGGTGGGGTGGGGTTGTGTGGGGTTGAGAGATGTGAAGAGAGTTGTGAGTCTAACAGGCTCTTTCTTGCCCCTGAGCAAGAGATCTTGACGAGTGCTGGCAGGTCGATGGATTCTAGGTGGTGGGTGTAGCGGGGAGGGACCGAGCGCAGCTGTTGGGTTGGGTGGGGCGCAGAGGGGTACGTGCAGAGGGTTGAGCAGAGGGGGATAAGGGCCTCACCCCATGATTGACCATCCTGGCTCCTGGTAAAGTGTGTGTGTGTGTGTGTGTGTGTGTGTGTGTGTGCGTGTGAGTGAGTGAGTGAGTGAGTGAGTGAGAGAGTGAGTGTGTGTGTGAGTGAGTGAGTGAGTGAGTGAGTGTGTGTGTGCGCGCGTGATTTTTTTATAATGTTTTGTACATTTCCTGACGAAGGAACTACTGTAATGCATTCGACAATCCACAACCCACCGTCCCGCACCATCCCACCAACACACCTTTCTGGCTAGCGCGCGTTGCAGAATAGCAGAGAGCGAGAGGGCGTTGAGGTGCCTGCCCCCGACAGCCACCACCCGCTGCCGCTCCTCCAGTGAGTCCTCCCGCCAGAAGCTTACTCGCCTTCGGAGCGACCGCACCATGGCACTCCCCCCTCTGGAGTGCGGCACCTCGTCCCTGCTCCGCACCCCCGCACTCCCCCTTCTGCTGCCACTGCTGCTGCTTGTCCCCAACGTGCTGCTATTGCTGCCGCCGCTGCTATTGCTGCTGCTGCCCACTTCCATGGTGCTGCTGCCCGCTTCCATGGTGCTGCTGCCCGCTTCCATGGTGCTGCTGCCCGCTTCCATGGTGCTGCTGCCCGCTTCCATGGTGCTGCTGCCCGCTTCCATGGTGCTGCTGCCCGCTTCCATGGTGCTGCTACCCGCTTCCATGGTGCTGCTGCCGCTGCCGCTGCTTCCTTTGCTGCTCTCCGTACCTTCAGCAGCAGATCTGGCAGCAGACACTCCCGAGAACTTACTCCCACCATCTCTCACTACCTCCGTGCCACTCCTAAGACCCTCATCCCCCTCGTCTCTCTCACTCACGCCTGGTTGAATTCTCTCTGCTTCTTCCATCCCCTCGTCTTGCATTCTGATCCGACCTTTAGCCCCTCCCCCTTCCAGCCGTTGAGGCGCCTCAGAGATTGTGTCCATTCTGGAAGCTTCAGCTCCTGCCCCTTGCAGCCTATGAGGCGCGCCAGAAGCTGCATCCACCATCCCTCCCAATCCCAACATCCCCCGCCCTTGCACCCTCATCATGACCGCTTTACCATCAATCATCCCCTGCCGCTGCACCCTTACCAGAGCTTCTCTCTCTTCCGTCCCCAACTTCCCCTCCTCCGCAACTTCTGCTCCCCCTCGTCGCCCATCCTCCAACCCACCTCTCCTTGACCCACTATCATCCACACCATCCTCCACTACTAATTCCTTCATGCCCTCCCTGCTGCAGCCCCTGCTGCCCATACTGCCATTCTTGCTGCCCCTATCACTTGCCCTACTGTCACTGCCGCCGCTGCTGTTGCCATTTGCCCCACCACTGCTCACATGCTTGCTGCCCCCTTCCCTTGCTGGGCTGTGCCGAAGGCTCCTAGCAAGGCTCTGCTGTGCCGATTGCCACAGGCTTTTCTGAAAAGATGAAGCCAATAGAAAAAAGGGACAGAGCATGGAGTTAGGGGATTCATCCGGAGGTAATGACAGTACAGGAGTTGGGGCCGCCTTCCCTTGCCCTGCGGTGGCAACGTCTCCTCGCAAGGCTCTGCTGTGTCGACTGTCACAGGCTCTTCTGAAGAAAGGAAGGAAAACAAAGGCAAATTATGTGGGCACTGCAGAGAACCCATTGCCAAATCGAGAGAGCACTGCACATGCCTGCCCTCACTCACACCCACCTCCATGACCCATGACCGTCTGGGCAGTGTCGACTGCTCCCAGGCGAATCAGTTGATTCACAAGAGGCGACTCAGTGAACAAAAGAAAGCACATGCCAGGTGCCCTCACTCACACCCACGTCCATGACCGTGTGAGCAGTGTCCACTGCTCCTAAGCGATTGAGGTTGGCACAAAAGGAGAGAGAGCCGATCGCCTCTTTAAGTATGTCTCACACACGCCTATACGCCCTCCTGCCAGCTCATCTCACTCACCCTTTTCCCCTCTGCCAACTGCCCTCGCTCACACTCACCTCCATGACCGTATGGGCTGTGTCCACTGCTCCCAGGCGAATGAGGTGCCGCAGCAGGCGGCTGTACTCGCTATAAGGCGTTGCAACACGGCGGAAGAAGCGCAGCACGATGAGGTACATGTCCTCGTATATTGCCGATGCACTCTCTGCTGCGTCCTGACAAAACGAGCAAGTGGGCATGGGAGGGAGGGAGAGAGGGAGGGAAAGAGGGAGGAAGGGAAGGAGAGAGGGAGAGAGGGACGGGGAGGAACCGCAAAACGATGAGGTACATGTCCTCGTATATCGCTGATGCACTCTCTGCTGCATCCTGCCGAAACGAGCAAGTGGGAAGCGGGCGAGAAGGAGGGAGGGAGGGAAGGTGAAGATAGTACAGGCAGCGTGACAACATTGAGGAGCACTCCAATGCTTGCGTTGACTGGCATTGACCACAATTGACTTGTGCTGACTAACGTTTGACTACCATTGACTGGCGTTGACTGGCATTGACTGGCGTTGACTGGCGCTGACTCACTCACCTTCACATCCATGAACGCATCAACAATGATGGCGATGAGGAAGTTGAAGAGCACAAAGAAGAAGATGATGACGAAGGAGAACCAGAAGATCATCGCCGCGACGTATTGCCAGCTCTCCATGTGCTGAAAAAAGTACTGCACACTGTTGTCGTTGAGGATAATGAGGAAGCAGGTTTGCATGGCACCCCACAGGGTGCTGAACTGTTATAGAGAGAGGGGGAGAGGGTGGAGGAGGGAGGGAAAGAGAGGTAGGAGTGATACATCTGCATGTGATGGTGTGGGACGGACGTACTGCCAGCTCTCCATGTGCTGAAAGAAACTCTGCACGCAGGTCTGCATGGCTCCCCACAGGGTGCTGAACAGGAAGAGAGGGGTGGAGCGAGGGGGGGAGGGCATGATACATGGAAGAAACCTGCACACTGTTGGGAACCCGGAAAACCGGGAAACCGGGATATCGAAAAACCGGGATACCGGGAAACCGGGATACCGGGAAACCGGGAAACCAGGATACCGGGAAACCGGGAAACCGGGATACAGGGATACCAGGAAACCGGGATACCAGGATACCGGGAAACCGGGATACCTGGAAACCGGGATACCGGGAAACCGGGAAACCGGGAAACCGGGAAATCGGGAAACTGGGAAACCGGGAAACCAGGAAACCGGGATACCGGGAAACCGGGAAACCGGGATACCAGGAAACCGGGATACCGGGAAACCGGGATTCCGGGAAACCGGGAAACTGGGAAACCGGGAAACCGGGAAACCGGGATGCGGGGATACCGGGATACCGGGATACCGGGAAACCGGGAAACCGGGAAGCCCGGATACCGGGATACCTGGGATACCGGGATACCGGGAAACCAACATTATTGGCCCCCACCAATACGTTGGGTTGAGGGATTATTGGGGGGACCAATAATGTTGACCAAGTGGTTCAACATAATTGGGGGGACCAATAATTCCCACCCCAACCTTGGGGGTCAAGGTTTGAGTTCAAACCCCCAACTAGGGTTGGCCCTGGTTCTACACCCAAACTAAGTTTGGGTGGCTATCTCTAACCTAAGCTTATAGAATTGATGTAGGTTACAATGAGGATGGTAACCGGGAAACCGGGATACCGGGAAACCGGGATACCGGGATACCGGGAAACCGGAAAACCGGGAAACCGGGATACAGGGATACCGGGAAACCGGGAAACCGGGATACCGGGATACCAGGATACCGGGATACCGGGATACCCGAAAACCGGGATACAGGGATACCGGGATACCGGGATACCGAGAAACTGGGAAACCGGGAAACCGGGAAACCGGGATACCGGGATACCGGGATACCGGGCAACCGGGCAACCGGAAAACCAGGAAACCGGGAAACCGGGATACCGGGATACCGGGAAACCGGGATACCGGGATACTGGGATACCAGGAAACCGGGAAACCGGGATACCGGGATACCGGGATACCGGGAAACCGGGAAATCGGGATACCGGGATACCGGGATACCGGGATACCGGGAAACCGGGATACCGGAATACCGGGATACCGGGGGACCGGGAGACCGGGAGACCCGGAGACCGGGAGACTGGGGACCGGGATACAAGGATACCGGGAAACCGGGAACCGGGAAAACCGGGATACTGGGATACCGGGAACTGGGATACCGGGATACCGGGATACCGAAAACCGGGATACCGGGAAATTGGGAAACCGGTATACCGGGATACGGGAAAACAAGGATACCAGGATACCGGGATACCGGGAAACCGGGATACCAGGATACCGGGAAACCAGGAAACCGGGAAACCGGGAAACCGGGAAACCGGGATACCGGGTAACCGGGAAACCGGGATACCGGGAAACCGGGATACCGGGAAACCGGGAAACCGGGATACAGGGATACCAGGAAACCGGGATACCTGGAAACCGGGATACCGGGAAACCGGGAAACCGGGAAACCGGGAAATCGGGAAACCGGGAAACCGGGAAACCAGGAAACCGGGATACCGGGAAACCGGGAAACCGGGATACCTGGAAACCGGGATACCGGGAAACCGGGAAACCGGGAAACCGGGAAACCGGGAAATCGGGAAACCGGGAAACCGGGAAACCAGGAAACCGGGATACCGGGAAACCGGGATACCAGGAAACCGGGATACCGGGAAACCGGGATTCCGGGAAACCGGGAAACTGGGAAACCGGGAAACCGGGAAACCGGGATGCGGGGATACCGGGATACCGGGATACCGGGAAACCGGGAAACCGGGAAGCCCGGATACCGGGATACCTGGGATACCGGGATACCGGGAAACCAACATTATTGGCCCCCACCAATACGTTGGGTTGAGGGATTATTGGGGGGACCAATAATGTTGACCAAGTGGTTCAACATAATTGGGGGGACCAATAATTCCCACCCCAACCTTGGGGGTCAAGGTTTGAGTTCAAACCCCCAACTAGGGTTGGCCCTGGTTCTACACCCAAACTAAGTTTGGGTGGCTATCTCTAACCTAAGCTTATAGAATTGATGTAGGTTACAATGAGGATGGTAACCGGGAAACCGGGATACCGGGAAACCGGGATACCGGGATACCGGGAAACCGGAAAACCGGGAAACCGGGATACAGGGATACCGGGAAACCGGGAAACCGGGATACCGGGATACCAGGATACCGGGATACCGGGAAACCGGGAAACCGGGATACAGGGATACCCGAAAACCGGGATACCGGGATACCGGGATACCGAGAAACTGGGAAACCGGGAAACCGGGAAACCGGGATACCGGGATACTGGGATACCGGGATACCGGGCAACCGGAAAACCAGGAAACCGGGAAACCGGGATACCGGGATACTGGGAAACCGGGATACCGGGATACTGGGATACCGGGAAACCGGGAAACCGGGATACCGGGATACCGGGATACCGGGAAACCGGGAAATCGGGATACCGGGATACCGGGATACAGGGAAACCGGGAAATCGGGATACCGGGATACCGGGATACCGGGATACCGGGAAACCGGGATACCGGAATACCGGGATACCGGGGGACCGGGAGACCGGGAGACCCGGAGACCGGGAGACTGGGGACCGGGATACAAGGATACCGGGAAACCGGGAACCGGGAAATTCCGGGATACTGGGATACCGGGAACTGGGATACCGGGATACCGGGATACCGAAAACCGGGATACCGGGAAACTGGGAAACCGGTATACCGGGATACGGGAAAAAAAGGATACCAGGATACCGGGATACCGGGAAACCGGGATACCAGGATACCGGGAAACCAGGAAACCGGGAAACCGGGAAACCGGGAAACCGGGATACCGGGTAACCGGGAAACCGGGATACCGGGAAACCGGGATACCGGGAAACCGGGAAACCGGGAAACCAGGATGCGGGGATACCGGGATACCGGGATACCGGGAAACCAGGAAACCGGGAAGCCGGGATACCGGGAAACCAGGATACCGGGATACCGGGATACCGGGATACCGTGATACTGGGATACCGTGATACCGGGAAACAAGGATACCGGGATACCCGGAAACCGGGATACCGGGATACCGGGAAACCAGGATACCGGGAAACCGGGAAACCGGGACACCGGGAAACCGGGAAACCGGGATAGCTGGAAACCGGGATACCGGGATACCGGGATACCGGGATACCGGGATACCGTGATACCGGGATACCGTGATACCGGGAAACAAGGATACCGGGATACCCGGAAACCGGGATACCGGGATACCGGGAAACCAGGATACCGGGAAACCGGGAAACCGGGACACCGGGAAACCGGGAAACCGGGATAGCGGGAAACCGGGAAACCAGGATAGCGGAAACTTGAGTCTGACAACCGGGATACCAGGATACCGGGAAACCGGGAACCGGGAAACCGGGAAACCGGGTTACCGGGATACCGGGAAACCGGGAAACCAGGAAACCGGGATACCGGGATAACCGGAATACCGGGATACCGGGAAATCAGGATACTGGGAACCCGGGATACCGGGAATCCGGGAAACCGGGAAACCGGGAACCCGGGAAACCGGGATACCGGGATACCGGGATACCGGGATACCGGGATACCGGGATATTGGGATAGGATACCGGGAAACCGGGATACCGGGAAACCGGGATACCGGGATACCGGGAAACCGGGATACCGGGATACCGGGATACCGGGAAACCGGGATACCGGGATACCGGGAAACTGGGAAACCGGGAAACCGGGATACCAGGATACCGGGATACCGGGCAACCGGGAAACCGGGATACGGGGATACCCGAAAACCGGGATACCGGGATACCGGGAGATCGGGATACCGGGATACCGGGAAACTGGGAAACCGGGAAACCGGGATACCGGGATACCGGGATACCGGGCAACCGGGAAACTGGGAAACCGGGAAACCGGGAAACCGGGAAATCGGGAAACCGGGAAATCGGGATACCAGGAAACCGGGAAACCGGGATACAGGGATACCGGGAAACCGGGAAACCAGGAAACCGGGAAACCGGGATACGGGGATACCCGAAAACCGGGATACCGGGATACCGGGATATCGGGATACCGGGATACCGGGAGACCAGGAAACCGGGAAACCGGGATACTGGGATACCGGGATACCGGGATACCGGGATACCGGGAAACCGGGAAACCGGGAAACCGGGATACTGGGATACCAGGATACCGGGATACCGGGAAACCGGGATACCGAGATACCGGGAAACCGGGAAACCGGGATACCGGGATACCAGGATACCGGGATACCGGGAAACCGGGATACGGGGATACCCGAAAACCGGGATACCGGGATACCGGGATACCTTGATACCGTGATACCGGGATACGGGGGAACCGGGAGACCGGGATACCGGGATACCGGGATACCGGGATACCGGGAAACCGGGAAACCGGGATACCGGGATACCAGGATACTGGGATACCGGGAAACCGGGATACGGGGATACCCGAAAGCCGGGATACCAGGATACCGGGATATCGGGATACCGGGATACCGGGAAACTGGGAAACCGGGAAACCGGGATACCGGGATACCGGGATACCGGGATACCGGGCAACCGGGATACCGGGAAACCGGGAAACCGGGATACGGGGATACGGGGATACCGGGATACCGGGAAACCGGGAAACCGGGATACCGGGAAAGACAGCAAGAAAGACAGCGAGGGCGAGCAGGAAGAAGTTCAAGATTGAGGGGAGAAGGCTCATCAGCCTGCCTCCCCTCCTGCCTGCTTGCCCGCCCACACCTACACACAACACACATACGCACGCACCTGAGCCATGGTCATGCCAAACACAAGGTAGGCGTAGGTGGCATATGCGAGGAAGACTGCTAGGGCGAGCAGGAAGAAGTGCAGGATGGAGGGGAGAGCCCTCACCAGCCTGCCACACAAGGCGCCACGCATGCGCCCCCCGCACACACATGTCCGACTCACCTGTGCCATGGTCATGCCGAACACGAGGTAGGCATAGGTGGCATAGGCGAGGAAGACAGCCAGGGAGAGTAGGAAGAAGTGCAGGATGGAGGGGAGGGCGACGCGGATGGAGCGAGTGATGATGCCCATGTGCGGCTGGAAGTCCATCAGCTTGAGCACTCGCAGCACCATGATGAACACACTGATGAGGTTGGGGCGTAGGAGAGATGGGGGAGGGAAGGATGGAGAGGGACGCATGGGTACAGGAAAGGCGGTGGGGGAAAAGAGAGTGCAAACCCGGAAAACACTCACTGCAAGTCACTCACTGCAACCCGCTCATTGCAAGCCCTTCATTTCACTGCACTCACTTCATGCCCTGCAGAGCGAAGTAAGCTGAGCTCGTGTTGATAATACTGCCCAGTTTGTCAGCAGCAGCCACTGCAGCCAGGTACCCCGAGGGCGGGTTGGGGAGGGCCCAGTAGCGCGGGTACTCATCCAGAGTGTAGTAGATGTTGTAGCGTGCCTGCATGTTGAAGCTCTGCCCGGATAGCACTGCCATTGATATCCTGCGCATGGTGCAGGGGAGAGTGAGCGGGACAGGGCACATCAATACAAGCACCACTTGAGAGGGCAGAGGGCAAGAGGGCGGGTTAGGGAGTGCCCAGTAATAAGGGTACTCATCAAGAGTATAGCATATGTTGTAGCGGGCTTGCATGGTAAAGCTCACCGCACACTCACTGCACACTTACTGCACACGCACTTCACACTCACTCCACATTCACTTCACAACACTAATGACGCCACAACATCACACTCCCCCACTCACCACTAAGCATGGGCATTTGACCCGACCCGGCCCGACCCGTCCCGTTGAGGGCGACCCGTAAGCTTAACGGGTCGGGTCGGGTCGGGTTAGCGGGTCGGGTTTGACTCTGTTTTGGTGACCCAACCCGCCCCGTGGGAACGGGTATTTGTGACCCGTTACCGGGTCGGTTACACCACGGGTCGGGTCGGGTCGGATCAAAATATGCTACATAGCAGCAGGGTATGGGGGTTAGGTCTGAATTGCTACATTGTAAACTACATGTTACAACTATATTCGCGCTGCTGAAGGTGGCGCCTTCGTGCTGCTGATGGTGGCGCCTTCGCGCTGCTGAAGGTGGCGCCTTCGCGCTGCTGAAGGTGGCCGCGATCGCCCTGTCCTAATGCGGTGCCGCGATCGCGCATATGCGGGGCGGCGATCGCGCCAATGCGGGGCCGTGATCGCGCTGAGCAAACGCGGGGCCGAGATCGCGCTATTGCGGGGACGCGATCCCGCCAATGCGTGGCTACACGCGCGCTGCTGCGCCCCTGGTCGTGCAACGCTGCGAAATGGCGGGAGCGCCAAACCCTAACCTGAAGATAATATGCAGTTTAAATAGTGCTAACATTGAAGAGTGAAGACTGTATGAGGCTCCCTAGCTGCAGCGCAGAAGTACTAGCCTTGATTCAGTCTAGCGACTAGATCAGAATGTCGAGGGAAAAAAAACCTAAAAAACCAACCGATGTTCAACCCCTACCCTAATCCGAAAACGGGTCGGGTAACCCTGTCATTTGACTGGGTACGCTGTTGGAAAGCTAGAATTGATACATTGAATAATGAGCCAAGAGGCTCTTTAGTACAAACAATGAGCAAGAGAGAGATGAGAGGGAAGCTTACCCTATTCGCCAATAAGTTGGCCAATGGGTGAGCTTGCTTGTGACCCAAGCAACCACAAATGTGTGTTGGTTGGGATTGGTTGAGCTAAGGACCAATCCCAACCAACCACAAAATGTGGTTGGAGGGTACACTAAGCAACCCCCCAATTTATAAATGTGCTACACTTCTAGCCTATGTATGTTGTATGAAAAATGAAATTACAACATACGCGACCCGGACGGGACGGGTCAACCCGACCCGGCGGGTCGCAAAAACCCGTCACTAAATCACAGTGACGGGTCACGGGTCGACCCGACCCGTCCGGGTTTTCCCGAACCGACCCGGGCGGGTCGGCCTTCTCAGCATTCCTGACCCGACCCGCCCTAAAGGGCGGGTCGGGTCGGGTTACCCGACCCGTCCGGGTCAAATGCCCATGTATACTCACCACATGCAGATGCAGAGAATCTGGACGGAGATCGAAAGCCAGTCCACCCAGTTCCACCCCTGCCGCCAGTAATGCCAGAAGGACCTTCGCTGCACCTTCCAAATCCACATCATCTCCTTCACCTCCTCCACTACGTTCCAAACCACGCCGGCCACAAACAGCAGCTCCAGGACGAGCCGTATCACGTTGTTTGTCACATTCAGGTCGTAGTATTCCACGTTGACCGGCTGGATTAGGAAAGTAGCGTCCATGCTGCCGCCCGGCTGAAGGGAGAGGGTGGCTTTGGTGGCGGTGAACAGTTGCTCATTGGCTGGAGGGGAGCAACAGGGACAAGAGAAGCCGGGGCAAGAGGGGGTACAAGGGGATGAGGAAATGGGTTTAGTGAAAATGAGGAACATGGTTGATGGTGGTGGTGAAAAGTTGCTTGTTGGCTGGAGGGGGCGACAGCAAGGGAGGCAACAGGAAGGGATGAGGTGACAGGGACAGGGGTAATCGGGAAAGGGAGAGGAGAGGAAAAGAGGTTGTCGAAGGAGAATACTGAGACATCTCAAAGAAGTTTGAGAATATGCTCCCTCCATCCCTCCCTCCCTGCGTCTCACCATTGCGAGTGATGAGTTTTGAGACGTCTCATGAGCACGACATCGATGCTGCGTGTGTAGTTGTCCACAAAGAACCCATCCACTGCAGCCGCCACCCCATTGTCAAGGAGCAGCCCCCCCTCCCTGCCTCTCACTGTTCCTCCCTGCCTCTCACCATTACGGGTGATGAGCACGACATCAATGCTCCGTGTGTAAGTTGTCCACAAAGAACCCATCCACCAGGTACTGCAGCCGGCGCGTGGCCCACCGGTTGTCATGTGCACACCTCATCACCGCATCTCACCGTTGCCTCTCACCATTACGAGTGATGAGAACCAGGTCAATGCTGCGTGTGTAGTTGTCCACGAAGAACCCGTCCACCAGGTACTGCAGCCGCCGAGTGGATGCACCATTGTCATGAGCACACCTCATTACCGCATCTCACCACTGTTGCCCCTCACCGTTGCGAGTGATAAGAACAATGTCGATGCTGCGCGTGTAGTTGTCCACGAAGAACCCGTCCATGAGGTACTGTAGCCGCCGAGTGGATGCACCATTGTCATGAGCACACCTCATTACCGCATCTCACCACCGTTGCCCCTCACCGTTGCGAGTGATAAGAACAACGTCGATGCTGCGCGTGTAGTTGTCCACGAAGAACCCGTCCACCAGGTACTGCAGCCGCCGAGTGGATGCACCATTGTCATGAGCACACCTCATTACCGCATCTCACCACCGTTGCCCCTCACCGTTGCGAGTGATAAGAACAACGTCGATGCTGCGCGTGTAGTTGTCCACGAAGAACCCGTCCACCAGGTACTGCAGCCGCCGTGTGGATGCACCATTGTCATGAGCACACCTCATTACCGCATCTCACCACCGTTGCCCCTCACTGTTGCGAGTGATAAGAACAATGTCGATGCTGCGTGTGTAGTTGTCCACGAAGAACCCGTCCACCAGGTACTGCAGCCGCCGTGTGGATGCACCATTGTCATGAGCACACCTCATTACCGCATCTCACCACCGTTGCCCCTCACCGTTGCGAGTGATAAGAACAACGTCGATGCTGCGTGTGTAGTTGTCCACGAAGAACCCGTCCACCAGGTACTGCAGCCGCCGTGTGGATGCACCATTGTCATGAGCACACCTCATTACCGCATCTCACCACCGTTGCCCCTCACTGTTGCGAGTGATAAGAACAATGTCGATGCTGCGTGTGTAGTTGTCCACGAAGAACCCGTCCACCAGGTACTGCAGCCGCCGTGTGGATGCACCATTGTCATGAGCACACCTCATTACCGCATCTCACCACCGTTGCCCCTCACCGTTGCGAGTGATAAGAACAACGTCGATGCTGCGTGTGTAGTTGTCCACGAAGAACCCGTCCACCAGGTACTGCAGCCGCCGTGTGGATGCACCATTGTCATGAGCACACCTCATTACCGCATCTCACCACCGTTGCCCCTCACCGTTGCGAGTGATAAGAACAACGTCGATGCTGCGTGTGTAGTGGTCCACGAAGAACCCGTCCACCAGGTACTGCAGCCGCCGTGTGAATGCACCATTGTCATGAGCACACCTCATTACCGCATCTCACCACCGTTGCCCCTCACCGTTGCGAGTGATAAGAACAACGTCGATGCTGCGCGTGTAGTTGTCCACGAAGAACCCGTCCACCAGGTACTGCAGCCGCCGTGTGGATGCACCATTGTCATGAGCACACCTCATTACCGCATCTCACCACCGTTGCCCCTCACCGTTGCGAGTGATAAGAACAACGTCGATGCTGCGTGTGTTGTTGTCCACGAAGAACCCGTCCACCAGGTACTGCAGCCGCCGTGTGGATGCACCATTGTCATGAGCACACCTCATTACCGCATCTCACCACCGTTGCCCCTCACCGTTGCGAGTGATAAGAACAACGTCGATGCTGCGCGTGTAGTTGTCCACGAAGAACCCGTCCACCAGGTACTGCAGCCGCCGAGTGGATGCACCATTGTCATGAGCACACCTCATTACCGCATCTCACCACCGTTGCCCCTCACCGTTGCGAGTGATAAGAACAACGTCGATGCTGCGCGTGTAGTTGTCCACGAAGAACCCGTCCACCAGGTACTGCAGCCGCCGTGTGGATGCACCATTGTCATGAGCACACCTCATTACCGCATCTCACCACCGTTGCCCCTCACTGTTGCGAGTGATAAGAACAATGTCGATGCTGCGTGTGTAGTTGTCCACGAAGAACCCGTCCACCAGGTACTGCAGCCGCCGTGTGGATGCACCATTGTCATGAGCACACCTCATTACCGCATCTCACCACCGTTGCCCCTCACTGTTGCGAGTGATAAGAACAATGTCGATGCTGCGTGTGTAGTTGTCCACGAAGAACCCGTCCACCAGGTACTGCAGCCGCCGTGTGGATGCACCATTGTCATGAGCACACCTCATTACCGCATCTCACCACCGTTGCCCCTCACCGTTGCGAGTGATAAGAACAACGTCGATGCTGCGTGTGTAGTGGTCCACGAAGAACCCGTCCACCAGGTACTGCAGCCGCCGTGTGGATGCACCATTGTCATGAGCACACCTCATTACCGCATCTCACCACCGTTGCCCCTCACCGTTGCGAGTGATAAGAACAACGTCGATGCTGCGCGTGTAGTTGTCCACGAAGAACCCGTCCACCAGGTACTGCAGCCGCCGTGTTGCTGCCCCGTTGTCCAGATTCACATCAAACACCAGCGGGAAGCGGCTGCTGCCAGGCTGCATGAGAGACAGGGAGCGGACAGACAACAGGGGACAAGGTTACAGATTCACATCAAATACCAGTGGGAAGCAGTTGCTGGAGGGAGCATTGGCAGCAGCATGCCAGAGTCGCACCAACACCCTCACAGCAACGCCAGAGCGCTACTGCCTTGGAGTCTTACTAGCTGCTGAAAGCAATAGGGAAACCCCTTGGCATTGAGCTCAAAAAGATTGGCAAAGGACTTGTTCCTGCAGGCGTTGGCAGCCGCACTAGCAAAGTGGAGCGAGGTTGAAATTGTTTTTGAGAATTCTGAAAAACAATCTGCAAGATTGGCAAAGGACTTGTTCCTGGAGACGTTGGCAGGCGTTGGCAGCCGCACTAGCAAAGTGGAGCGAGGTTGAAATGTGAGGCGCCCAAAACTCAAAGATCAAAAGCAGAGAGGGAGTCTCACCAGCTGCTGAAAGCCATATGGCAACCCCTTGGCGTTGAGCTCAAAGGGATTGGCAAATGTTTCGTTGGTGTAGGCGGTCATGTTGGCAGCAGCATTGGCGTTGTACAGCGAGGACGACGGAAGGAAGACTGGGTTCACCCCGAAAGCCTCGGATGACTCGCCTCTCACACACAAGTCCTGGAAGTGAAACCTGCACATCCGGTTGGGGGTGAAGTGGAGACGAGCAGGGTGGGGTTGGCAAAGGAAGCGTTGGTGTAGGGTTGAGCAAAAAAACGAACACCTGTTCGGTTCGCCTCGAACACGTTCGAGGCGAACCGAACAGGTTTTTTTTTTGGCTTAAAATGTTCGCCGAACAGTGTTCGATGTTCGCCCGAACACGTTCGTGTTCGGGCCGCTGCTGCAATTTGCCCGCGACGAACACGAACAGTGTTCGAGGTTCGCCCGAACACGCCTTCACAGGCGAACGGCGAACACCATTTTTTGCTCAAAGTGTTCGCCGAACCAAACAGTGTTCGGTTCGGCAAACGAAGGTGTTCGTGTAGGGGCGAACACAAACACGTTCGTGTTCGCCACTTGCTCATCCCTACGTTGGTGTAGGCGGAGGTGTTGGCAGCAGCATTGGCGTTGTATAGCGAGGAGGACGGAAGGAAGACTGGGTTCACCCCGAACGCCTGGTGGGGCGTAGTGATGTTGCGACTGGTGTGGTCACTGAAGCAGTTTTGAAAGAGCAGCAAATGGTTAATCGGGCGTAGTGATGTCGCGACTGGTGTGGTCACTGAATACAGGCGTGCTTTATGCCTGACCATGCGCGTTAAGGCTGGCCCATGCTAACAGCACAGCTCACCAGCTCATTCCCATGCATGTGCCTCACTCACTTGCCTGCTCATGCACCGTCTGCGTTCAGAGCAAGCTCAAGCAGCAGCCGCACCGGAGCTCCCCCTCCGCTGTTGCGCAGCCACTTGATCTTGTTCACATGGACCTATGGGGCCCTAATCCCTCTCCCACTCGCCAGGGCCATCGCTACCTTCTCGTGCTTGTTGATGATCACAGTCGGTACTCATCCGTCTCTCTCCTTCGGACGAAGGCGGATGCCCCGGCTGCGATCATCGCCTGGCTCGAGCGGGCAAACACCCATTTTGGGCGCCCTGTTCACCGTCTTCACTCTGATGGAGGTGGTGAGTTCTTTAACAACCAAGTTTCCTCCTATTGTCAGTCTCGTGGCATCCTTCAGACTTACATCCTCCCTCACTCCCCACAGCAGAACGGCGTGGCTGAGAGTCGTGTTTGAGAGATCACCAAAACAGCCCGATGTCTGCTTGTCCACGCCTCCTGTCCCCCTTCTCTTTGGGGCTACGCCCTCCTTCATGCCGCCCTCCTTACTAACCTTTACCCTCACCCCCTTCTCCCCTCCATCACCCCCACTGAGCTATGGACGAAGGACAAGCCTGATGCCTCATCACTTCGTGTCTGGGGCTCTAAGGCACATGTCCTCATTCACCCCTCTGACCGCTCTCGTTCCATGGGAAAGCTTGCCCCTCGTACCCTTCCTTGCATCTTCCTTGGTCATAATCCCTCCTCCCCCGACTACCTTTTCCTCCACCCCCCATCCGGTCGTCTAATCCGTAGCAGGGATGTGGTCTTTGACGAGTCCACTCCCTACTACTCCTCTCCCACATCTACTGACCCACTCCCCCCTCTCACCCGTCCCCTTGTCTGGTCTGACACCACCCCTCCCCCACTACTCCCTCCTCCCCCCATCCTCCCACCCCCCCCTTCTCCGCCGTCCCAGTCCCATGGTGCCCCTCCCTCTTCTGGTGACATCTTTGACCCGGAACCTCTGTCTTCTCCTGTCTCCCCCGCTCACTCCTCTCCTAGTACCCCTCCCCCCCCCCCCTTCCTCTCCCTCGCCACCAACCCGTCCTCCCCCTTCCCGCACCATACTCACCCGGTATCCCCACACCAGGTCACATGACGGTATCCTTGGTGCACCGCCTCCCGTTACCCTCTCTACCTATACCCTTCCCCCTCTCTCCCCCCTCCTTCGTCACTTCTTCCAGGCTGTCTTGCATCAAGCCCCTCATGCAACAGCCCCCTCAGCCACCTCCTCTCCAGCAGCGGCACCAGCAGCGGCTCCTAGCAGCGGCAGCAGCAGCGGGACCAGCAGCGGCAGCAGCAGCAGCAGCGGGAACGGCATCGGCAGCAGCAGCGGGACCAGCAGCGGCACCAGCAGCGGCACCAGCAGCAGCACCAGCAACAGGACCAGCAGCAGCACCAGCAGCGGCACCAGCAGCGGCACCAGCAGCAGTACCAGCAGCAGCACCGGCAACGCCTCCACCAGCAGCACCAGCAGTCATCCGCGCCTTCCACACCTCCCTCTCTGAGGACTCCCATGAGGAGTTCCTTGACCTCCACCTTTATGACCCCTCGCTTCTACCCATCACGTTCGACCTCTCCGGCACACCTGTCTTCGCCTTCTCCTCTGCTCCCTCCATTTTCGTTCCTACCACGTACGAGGAGGCAATGGCGTGCCCTGACGCTCCGCTATGGCTCGCTGCCATCATCAAGGAGCTGGAGGCCTTTATCGGCAACTCCTCCTTTGTCGATGTGCCTCGCCCTCCCGCCCCTACGAACGTGGTGAAAGGAAAGTGGGTGTTTCGTGTCAAGCAGCTGCCAGGGGAGCCGCCCGTCTATAAGGCTCGTTGCTGCGCCAAGGGGTTCACGCAGCGGTATGGTTTTGACTTCTTCGATACCTTCTCCCCTACTGCCAAGCCTGCTACTGTTCGCGCCGTGCTCGACCTCGCCGCTCGCCTCATTATGGAGATCCACTCGATGGACGTTTCTAACGCCTTCCTACAAGGCGTCCTCCGCGAGCTTATCTACATGGAGCGTCCAGCCGGCTTTCACCTCCCCTTCCCAGCAGACTTTGTCTGGTAGCTGCGTCGACCGGTGTATGGGCTTCGACAGGCCCCGAGGGAGTGGCATGCTAAACTTGCCGCCACCCTTGCTCAACTTGGGTTCCGCACCTCCCGCTCTGACGCCAGCTTCTTCCTCCGCACCTCCCCCTCCCCATTTTACATCCTTATGTATGTCGATGACATGATTCTGCTCACTGCCGACCTTGAAGAGTTGGAGCATGTTAGTTGGGCAGCCGTCTCAAGTGCAAAGACTTGGGAGAGCTACGGCATTATCTGGGCATGACCATCACCCGCGACCGCTCCGCCCGCACCATCTCACTCTCCCAAGGTCATTACTTGCAGCAGGTCTTGGAGCGGTTTGACATGGCCCGCGGCGGCGCCCAACATACACCTCTTTCTGTCGGGCACCACCTCTCTCCACCCACCTCCCCCTCCGCCTCCTCCCATCCTTATCCCGAGCTCATCGGCTCCCTCATGTACGCCATGGTCTCCACTCGCCCTGACATTGCCTACCCCATCAGCGTCCTCGCTTGGTTTATTGGCGCTGGCAAGCATACGGCTGAGCACTGGCAGGCTGCCAGGCGCGTCCTCCAGTACCTTAGCGGCGCCAAGGACTATGTCCTTACCCTTGGCGGCCCTTCCCCACCTCTCCTCAGCGGCTACAGTGACTCCTCCTGGGCTGACTCCCGACCATACCGTCGCTCCTCCTAGGGCTATGGCTTCTCTCTTGGCAGCGGCCTCATCAGCTGGCGTTCCACGCGCTCCTCGGCTATCGCCCTCTCGTCCTGCGAAGCCGAGTTGTATGCCGCCACCATGGCTGCACAAGAGGCTCGCTGGCTCTCCTTCCTTCTTGAGGAGCTTGGTGCCCCCCAGCGCTGTCCCACCATTTGGTGTGACAACGCCAGCACCATTCACCTCACGAAGGATGCTGTGTTTCACGGGCGCTCCAAGCACATTGAGCTCCGTCATTTCTTCATTCGCAATCTTGTTCAGGCTGGGCACCTGCGGCTCGACAAGGTTGACTCCGCGGCCAGCCTTGCCGACATCTTCACAAAAGCTCTTCCTCATGCGGCTCACTCTTCACTAATTCGTCTCCTTGGTCTTACTCCTCCGAAGTTGGTCCCCGCTTCTTGATTGTAGCCTTCTAGCCTTATGCATGTTCGGGGGTTATGTTGTAATTCCATATTTTATACAACATGCATAGGCTAGACTTAGATGTGTAGTAGACATGAGCATCGCACGAATCCGAACACGTTTGATTCGAACCTTTTCGAACACCTGGAAATTTCAAACCGAACGTGTTCGGTTCCCTCGAACATTTTTTCAGAAAACTCATGTTCGAGTGTTCGCATTCAGAGGCGAACACTTAGATGTTCACGGGAACATCTAAGTGTTCGTGGCGAACGCAAACGTGTTCGAGCTCGCCCCTGGATTTTCCACAAGTCCTTCGTCGTTTCCCCACCCTGAACCGGTATCACCAGTCCCTTTCATCGCCAGAGATCTCGTCCCTAAATCAGGTTATCCCTTGGAAAGGAGGGAAGGAGAGGTCGACGGGCGAATGCCTTTCGCCACAGGCGAAGGGTCTGTCCAGACTACAAGTAACGGTTAGCCGCGTTTACTTTATAGTGGATCTGCTATAAACGGGCTCATAGTAGCGGAAATGCCTAAGTACCCGTTCTTGGCTTATGTTTGCGTACACTAGGAGCCTAAGCCATGCTAAACTAAAAGCACGAGATCGAGCTTGAAATGAGCTCAATCCCAGATATGCGCAATCCTAAATTGGAAACCAGCGCGGCCGATGTCGCGCTGGTATTTATCACGAACACTTTGATGTTCGCATAGGGCAATTTCGAACTCGAACCCGTTCGAGTTCGAAGCGGCGCGGTAAAAAAACGCATTCGAACTCGAACATGTTCGAGTTGAACTCGAACATGTTCGTATCGAACCTTTTTAGCCAAAAGACAAGGAATGTTCGGTTCGACTCGAACGTTCGTGAATATGCTCATGTCTAATGTGTAGCACTCTTATAAATTGGGGGGTTGGTTAGTGTACCCTCCAACCACATTTTGTGGTTGGTGGGGATTGGTCTTTACCTCAACCAATCCCAACCAACACACATTTTGTGGTTGCTTGGGCCACAAGCAAGCTCACCCATTGGCCAACTTATTGGCCAATAGGGTAAGCTTCCCTCTCATCTCTCCCTTGCTCATTGCTTGTACTAAAGAGCCTTTTGGCTCATTATTCAGTGCATCAATTCTCTCTCTTCTAACACATGCATGTGCCTCACTCACTTGCCTGCGCATGCCCATGCATGTGGCCCGCTTACCTGCTCGTGGCACAGTCTGCAGAGTCCCAGCGGTATTGTACGATGATGAGACCCATCAGCACCCTGTGCGGGGAGGGGAGAGCACGGAGAAGCGGGAGATGCACGAGGGGCGGGAGAGGCAGGAGAGGCAGGAGAGACAGGAGAGGGAAAGACAGGACAGGAATGAGGCAGGATGCAGAGCACGCAGAGCACGCAGATATGGTTCTGGTTGGCTCACAGCAAGCATCACATCACACTCTGCTTCTTTGGTTGGCTTCAAATCAGAGCGTGAGGAGTGCCAGAGGTATTGCACGATAGTGAAACCCATCAGCACACTGAGGCGAGGGGAGGGGCTAGGAAGGAGGTGCAGGAGGGACACATGGGGGGGGCTGAAGAGGCAGGAGTTACAGGAGAGGGAAAGGGGCAGCATGCATAGAAATAAAGAGATTGCAGAACAAGAACACGGCGTTAATTGCAAAACAGGAGAGGCTGTGGCCACGAGCCTATTGCATTGGGACACAACACAAGTTTTGAGACGTCTCAAAACACGAACCTGTTGTATTGGGACACAACACGAGGCAGAGCAGTAGCGGTGCTGCCGAGAGTGGAGAGGAGGGGATGCACTGTGGGGCCGAATCGTTGCAGACTGAAGGGGACCTTGATGCCCGTGCCTGCTCCTGCTGCTTCACAGCACGCTGAGTGATGGAGGAAGGGAGGCCAGAGAAAAAAGAGTGAAAGAGAAAGACCGAATGCTGTGAAGCCATCTTTGGGAATTCTCAAAAGCCACTGATAAAGGGCCTCCTCCGCTCATCTAAACAATTCACGGGTTTGGACCACTTAAGCCTAGGGAAAGTATAATCATTTACCTTCTGAGCAGCCTAACAAACAACTGCACGCGCGTACCTCCATCATCGCCCCGTATCTGCAACACAGGACATGTGCACCACTGCACACCCACTCCTCCTCCCACACTCCCACCCACACTCGCACCACCGCCACTGCTGCCACTGCCGCTGCCTCCTCTCCCACTCCCACCACCAGCACCAGCAGCATCACTGCCGCTGCTCACGCTGCTTCCAATACTCCCGCTGCCAGCGCCGCCGCAAGCGCAGTCCCCCCCGTCGAAGTCACAGAGAGCCACGTTGCAGGGCTGGTCGCAGCGGCCGTTGGCGAGCATGGAGAGACGGCAGTCCGGCGCACAGAGAGAGGCGAGGAGGAGCGCGTAGGGGGGGAGAGAGTCGCGGGGCTGGGGTGCTGGTGGTGGGGGGTAGGGGGAACAGGAAAGAGTTGGGAGAGGGGGAGAGGAGTCAGAAGGTGCAAAGGGGTACTTGCTGGTCGCAGCGACCGTTGGCCAGCATGGCGAGACGGCAGGCAGGCGCACAGAGGGAGGCGAGGAGGAGCACGTAGGGGGGGAGAGAGTCGCGGGGCTGGGGTGCTGGTGGTGTGAGGGAGGGGATGGGGGGCCGGCAATGGTTGAGAGAAGGGGAGAGGAGTCAGAAGGTGCAAAAAAGCACGGTGCAGGGTTGGGTTTTGAGACGCCTCAATAAACAGAGAGCCACACCCCCGTCAAAGCCACAGAGAGCGACGTTGCAGGGCTGGTAGCAGCGACATTAACATTACCATTACCATAACCATTATCAACCATTACCATTACCATTACCATTACAATTACAATTACCATTACCATTACCATTATCAACCATTACGATTACCATTACCATTACCACTACCACTACCACTATCATTACCATTACCATTACTATTACCATTACCATTACCATTACCATTACCATTACCATTACCACTATTACCATTATCAACCATTACCATTACCATTACCATTACCATTACCATTACCATTACCATTACCATTACCATTACCATTACCATTACCATTACCATTACCATACCATTACCATTACCAATACCAATATCAATACCATTACCATTACCATTACAATTACCATTACGATTACCATTACCATTATCATTACCATTACCATGACCATTAGGAAATGGTTGGGAAAGGCGGAGAAAGAGTCAGAAGCTGCAGAGGGGCATATTGCAAGGTTGAGTTATGTGCATCCATAGAGGGTGACGTTGCAGGATGAGAGTGAATGCGTGTAACAGAGGGGAGTCCCTCACTTTCATGTTTCGAGCCGTGCCTAACACCCATGCACCACATGCCCACATGCAAGCCTGGACCCATACACCCACGCATCCATGCACCCATGCGCGCACCTGAATCATTCCTGGCGCGGATGAGGGTGAATGCGAGTGACTGAGGCGAGTCCTTCACAGCTATGTCTCGAGCCGTGCCAAACACCTTGGTGTATGCGAACTGGGGCGGTGATGAGTCGTCGGGAGAGCCTGCAGGGGAGGGTGCAAGAAGGAATGAGTTGAAAGTCAAATTTCTATGATATCGCAAATAACAAGCACGCAGTGCCAAACACCTTGGTGTATGCGAATTGGGGAGGTGATGTGTCGTCGGGAGAGCCTGCAGGGAAGGCGTGGTGGGTGGGGTGAGGTGAGGAGTGCTTTGGGACTCTTGAGAAACCTTAAACAGACTTCTTCAGGCACCTCAACAAAAGGCATGAGGAGTGGTTGAGGGTTAATGGAGGACAAAAGAGGTAGTGCGAAAATGAGGGGTGTTGAGGACAGTGAGATAGTAGGGGGAGATGAAGGGGTGTTTGAGGGAGGTATGGCAACAAACCTGGTGTTTAAGTGCAAACGGCATTGAAAAGATATAACAAACGTTCACATATGCATGCCATGTCACCATATGCCAGCATGGCATGCCACGTCACCACTCACGCAGCACGCATGGCGCAGGCTCATCTGAGGCATCTCTGGGCCCAATGTTATCCCATGCACATGTGGCAAGCCGTGATAGGCCGAGCCGCCCCGCTCCAAACCCAAGAAACGGCTCCGAACCCGCCCATGCTGCAGTGAGGGACGAAAGAGGAAGAAAAATCAAACAAATGCATGCGGAGCGTCAGATGGAGTAGAATGCATGTGCCCACCAACCCTGCAGTGAACCCAGTGAAAGAGTAAAAGAGAGAGGACCCTGTGCGAGTTTCACTGCACCGCACCTGAGAGCTCGTGGTAGTCGTCGCCGTTCCATACCTACCCACGTGGGCATGGGATGGGCAGAGGCCCACCACATCAAATCAAAGACCCACAAGCGAAGGGCAGGGCACTGCTGCACCTCTCACCTCTCCCGTCTCCCTCTCCTCCCTACCCTTGCTCGCCACACCTGAGAGCTCGTGGTAGTCGTCGTCGTTCCACACCCACGTGACCCGCTGCCCGTCTGATATGGCGCGGCGGGTGAAGGACGCAGAGTCCCATAGAACCATGAAATCCGCTGGGGGAGAGGAGGGGGACCCGGGGAGGGAGGAGAGAAGGATTGTAGGGAGAGGAGGAAGCTCTTGAGTTATTACAAAAGCACCCACTTGGGACGCGCAAGGCTCTTCGAAACGCTTGCGCCCTGACGAGGAGTTATTACAAAAGCACGTGAGGGAGAAACAGACAGGAAGCTGAGGGTAACAGCAGGAGCACCTGAGAAAAACAGAGAGCGCCTGAGACCAACAGCAGGAGCACCTGGGAAGACCATAGGGGCACTTGAGAGCAACAGAAAGAGAGATGCACCTTGGGGGCACGGCGAGGCGTCTGGCGAGACCACTGTGTCGTTGAAGATGTGCAGCAAGTGGGTGGCAGCCTGGACGGCACCGCTCGGCATCTTCTGCACGACTGACTGCAGCGCCATGACGAGGATGCGGACGAAAAGAGCCTGCTGGGCGGCAGAGAAGCGCCGGGAGGGACTGAGAAAGAAGAGAACGGGTGGAGTGGGGGAAGGGAGGGGGGAGAACTGGGATGGGCATGAGAGGAGGGAGAGATGAAAAGGTTTTGGGAGAGGAAGGATGGTGGATAATGAGAAGGAGCCTGGTGGATAAACCCCTTGCCACTAATTGCATATAGTTGAGGTTGAGCGCACACCATCCTTCCCTTACCTGCGGTGCGTTGCTCGAATGTAATCCACCAGCTCTGCATGATCCGTCAGTTGCCGCCCAAAGAAAGCGTCCGTGAAGTTGCAGTGAGGGTGGGAGGTGAAAGGCCCAGCGAAGAGCGTGCAGAGGAAGGCAACGAGGCGATTGCGCGAGGCCAGGGAGAGGCTCTTGGCTGGGGACGACTGCTCCAAGCTGCTGCTATTACTGGTGGTGCTGCTTCTGTTGTTATCGTTGCTGCTGCCACTACCACCGCCACTGCTGCTGTTACCACTGCTGTCATTGCTGCCACTGCCACTGCCACTGCCACTGCCACTGCCACTGCCACTGCCACTGCCACCACTGTCACTGCTGCCGCCAGCTGTCGGCCCGGCCAGGCAGTTCTCCTTCACTGCGGTGTACAGCGCCCGTGCCACCGCCACCTGGCACACCCTGATTCGCTCTCCGTCTGTCGTCCCAAGGCTCTCCCACACGAGCCGCTGGGCTTCTGCGATTGGCTGGGAGGAGGTGGCTGGAGGGGGTGGGGGGGAGAATGGGTGAGGATGAGGGGATGGAAGGGTGGGTGAGGTGCAAGGAGGCAGCTTCGGTGGCTGGTGGGAAGAGGAAGCTGGGAAGGGGGGGGGAGGGAGAGGGGGGGTGGGAGGCGCATCAAAATTCACCTGGGAGGAATGAGGAGGTCGGTGGAGAGGGGAAGAGCTGTCGGCTGGAGCGAAAAGCACCGGCACTCTTGTGAGGAGGAGCGTGGAGACTAGGGGGGTGGTGGAGACTGGAAGCGTGGAAGGAGGGAGCACTGACCCGTTCTTCCTTTAGCTTCTGCCTCAGCTGCTGGTGGTGCTGGCAGGGAGGGAGACATGCGGGCATGGAGACGACGTGGAGTGTAATCAGGAAACACAATTAGGGTCAAAAAGAGGAGGGGATGACGGGATCATCTTAAACGCCCCGATGACAAAGGATATCATAACCGAGACAACGCAATGACAACCAAAGACAGAGGATCGTCAAGCCAGCACATACCTGGACTGAAGGAGAGCATGGGAAGAACTTGCCTCAGAGTACATACCAGCTGCACTGACGCCATGCCAGCCCAGGGATCCAAGAGAGACCCGGCAGGCCAAGAGGGGTGCGGGGAGGACATGGGGAGCGCTTCAGGAGCAGAGGAGCTGACACGGCTGTGCACACAGGGAGCGGCTGGGGTGTTGGTTGGGAGACTGGTGCTGGAAGGGTCACACGGAGTGACTTGAAGAGGTGCTTGTTGCAAGTGGCTGCTGCTGCTGGCGCTGCTGCTGTGAGCAGACGACTCTAGTAGCAAACGAGCAGACAGGGAACTTGGTGCTTCTGGTGCGTCCACTGCTGCTGCTGCCTCTGCTGGTGCTGCTGCTACTGGTGCTGCTGCTGCTGGTGCTGCTGCTGCTGGTGCTGCTGCTGCTGGCGCTGCTGGTGCTGCTGCTGCTGGTGCTGCTGCTGCTGGTGCTGCTGCTGCTGGTGCTGCTGCTGCTGGTGCTGCTGCTGCTGCTGCTGCTGCTGCTGCTGCTGGTGCTGCTGCTGCTGCTGGTGCTGTCGGTGCCGCTGCTGTTGTAGGTGGCTGGGATGCTGCTGCTGCAGGGGACTCTGAGAGCATATCTGCGCACATCCATACAGGGCACACGTGGTAGGATCAGAGGACGTAGGTGATGGTGTGTGTGTTTAAGGCGTCTGGCAGGCAGGCAAAAGGCAAAGGAGAAGTGGTGGTAGGAGAAGCGGCAGAGAGTGCAGCAGGATATGACGACATGGCAGGGGAAGGGTATGGGCAAGGGCGGAGGTGAGGGGCAGGGGGAGCACCAGTGCATGAGGGTGTTTGCAGAGACGCCTCGAAGACAGTGAACGCCTGGCGGGAACAGCGTTGTATGGGGAGGGAAAGAAGGGGGACACCGGAGGAGGGTATGGGCAAGGCAAGGAGGTGAGGGGCAGGAGGGACGGTAGGAACAGGACTGCAGTTGAAAGTATGAACCCCTGAGAGCACATCCGAGACACATCGAAGACCAAAATGGAAGCATGCAAAGGGAATGCGTGTGTGAGGGGTCTGATCTCACCTGGGAGCAGGTGATGCTGTCAGGGGGGTCGAAGGTGGTCCCTGGCAGCATGATGTTGCACGCCTGGAAGCAACTGCCTAGCGCTGCAGATGCCACACGCACGGGCAGAGTCGTGGGAGGACTGGTGCTTGCGGCGCTGCTGCTGCTGTTGCCCGTGCTGCTGCTGCTGCTTCTGGTGCACAGTTGCGGGAGACAGATAGTCCATATGGCACAGGTCTGGGGCATGGGAGACGCGAGGGAGAGGAGTGAAGAGAAGGGAGTGAGTGAGGACTGGTGCTGTTGGTGGTGTTGCCAGTGCTGCTGCTGCTTCTGGTGCACAGTTGCGGGAGACAGATAGTCCATATGGCACAGGTCTGGGGCATGGGAGACGTGAGGGAGAGAGGAGAGCGGAGAGGGAAGTGAGGAGACAGGAGGGAGGAATAGGGAGAGCAGAGTGCTCACAATGACATAACCACGTACTGCACCTGTCTGCACCGCACCGCAGCATGCACGTCTTCAGCACCTCTCCACTGCATCATACCTGTCTGCACCGCTGCAAACCCCTGCTTGCACATGCACCGCGTCCAACACCTCACCACCACACCGTACCTGTCTGCACCGCTGCAGACCGCTCTCGCCGTCCTCCACACACCCATCCACGCTCGCCAGCAGCACATTCGCCCCCGTGCCGTTGGAAGGCCGCAGATACTCCTTTGTGGACGGCGAAGCGGTGGGCGAGGCGGGTGGAGGAGTTGACTTTTGAGTCGACTCAAAAGGCGAAGCGGTGGGCGAGGCGGGTGGAGGAGTTGACTTTTGAGTCGACTCAAAAGGCGACGCGGTGGGCGAGGCGGGTGGAGGAGTTGACTTTTGAGTCGACTCAAAAGTCGAAGCGGTGGGCGAGGCGGGTGGAGGAGAGGCGGAGGGGGAGACACGCGAGGAGGGCAGTCGGAAGGGGGCTGGGGCAGGGGCGGTGGAAACAGGGGGTGGCGGCGGTGGCAGTGGCGGCGGTGCTGATATCATCACCGAGCCTTCAGCAGCTGAGCCTGAGCTGTAAACACCAGAGGAGGAGTCTGTGCCAGGTTCTGAAGCGCCTGTGGTCTTCTTCCCTAGGGACTCATAGACATAGACGCCCACGCCCCCGGTGGGAGCAGTGAGGGAGACGAACCAGTCGTTGTCTGGCAGGCGCACTGTGACCGTGTGCCAGCCTTTCAGCTCGATAAATAGCTGGGGGTCCTGGAACCTGAACGGGTGTGAGGGAGGGGAGAGGGTGTGTATCTTAGCACATACTCTCTCCCATTCACCAGCAACGTACCAGTCGTTGTCTGGCAGGCGCACTGTGACCGTGTGCCAGCCCGTGAACTCTGTGAATAGCTGGGGGTCCTGGAACCTGGTGTGGGGGAGGAAAGAGAAAAGCGGGGAGGGGGAGAAGGAACGAGCTGCTCATCATCATGGCCTCCCTTGATGTGAAGTGGCACCCCAGGGCCACCGTCACCACCCCACCGCCATCCTCCCACTCCACACACGCACACACTCACTCACTCACTCACTCTCCAGCACACGTCTCGGATGGCAGTGGAGCAGAGGTTCCACGAGCTGCTAAGCATCGCCTCCCTCGATGCAAAGTGGCACCGCAATGCCACCGTCACCTCCTTCCCACCCAAACACGCCTGCACACGCAATTCCAAACACTCACCCTGGTACAGAGAGAAACTCTCACCAGCACACGTCTCGGATGGCAGTGGAGCAGAGGTTCCAGGAGCTGCTCTGCATGGCCTCCCTCAATGCAAAGTGGCACCGCAGCGCCACCGTCACCACACCATCGCCACACTCGCTCATACACAGCCACGCAGACACTCACTCACACAGGTACAGAGAGGGAACTCACCAGCACACATCTCGGATAGCAGTAGAGCAGAGGTTCCAGGAGCTGCTAACCATGGCCTCCCTCAATGCAAAGTGGCACCGCAGAGCCACCGTCACCACCTTCCCACCCCCACACGCCCGCTCACGCTTTCCCACACACTCACTCTGGTACAGAGAGAGGGCTCACCAGCACACATCTCTGATAGCAGTAGAGCAGAGGTTCCAGGAGCTGCTAACCATAGCTTCCCTCGATGCAAAGTGGCATCGCAGCGCCACCGTCACCGTTGTAACGTTACGCGCGTTACCACAGTCTTGGGCACAGCCAAATCGGCCCACTGCAGGAAATTCAGTTGGGGGTGTGCATGTGCCGTCGCCGCATTGAGGATCCGACCATATGACCTGCAAGGAGGGAGAAGGAGAGAGGGTTTGTGCTGGCTTAGGATCATTCTGGGAGCAGTCGGACAGGCAGACACGAGAATCAGTTTGTAGTGCTCCTATCCAGGATATTTCTTAGTCAACTTTGAGCTCGTTCATCTAAGTTTAGGTATAGCCTCTGGCTAGCGTTGGAGATTAGTGGTCACTTGGAGAAAATTCTGGTTTTCTGGTGCAATTTTCACTGAAAACAGAGAAGTACAAACAACTGATTGAAAACAAACACATTCAAGCATTTCGAAATGTGATGTGCGCCTCGCGTAACGCGTCATCCGCGTTTCAGCCCGAGTCGCACGCGTAACCGAATTCGGTAACCGTCACCGGAACCGAAACCCGTTTGTCCCTTCCGCACCGAACACGGTTCGGTTTCGGTTGGACATTCTAGGCTTCGGAAATGTCTTCTCGACATTTCCCGAACCCTATTTCTCAGTCATTCCGTTTTCCCTTACTTTCCTCACGTTTTCCTCTCGTAACTACTTAGCATGCAGCCCCACCGTTCTAGGTACCGGTTCCCCATATTAGGTCGTAGTTCCCACCGTTCCTAGAGTTCTTCTACCGTCCCTAGGTCAGGCGCGCAGGCCGGTAGACACTAGGGCAGTGGCGAACCACCCTAACAGTTCAGGCCCACGGTGGGGCAATAACCCTGTGGAATGGACCCACCTGAATGATGCTGTTGTTAAGCCAGGTGTAGAAGTCGCTGCTGCTGGCAAAGGAGTAGCTTGAGTCCCCTGAGTAGTCCTGCCTCAGAATCACACATGCATACAGGCACACACACACACACACACACACACACACACACACACACACACACACATACACACACACACAGACACACACGAAGCACAAGGCCAGGGTCTGAACATCCATAGGTTATGGAATGGGGCCAAGGAAAGCTAGAGAACAAAGTTACGGGAGCTGTTCAACACGAGGATACTGGAGAGAGGGAGGAGAAGGGAAGAGAGGGAGGAAGGGCATACAGGCGGCAGGAGGATGGAGTGGGCTGAGGCCACCTGGTAGCTCTGAAATGACTGGGCCTGGTGAGGGGATGAATGAGACGGGGAGGAGGATGTGAGAGAAGGGGGGCGTGACTCGTGAGTGAGGGAGATCGTGAGTGAGGGTGCAACAAGCCAACGATGGGAGAAGCATTTTCTCCTGTTGAAATCGACAAGCAAGCCGAGAGGAGAGAAAGTCAACAGGATGACTCACGCATGGCGAGGATTGGCACCTGAAGGCACCTGATGGCACCTGATGGCACCTGATGGCACCTGAAGGCACCTGATGGCACCTGATGGCACCTGATGGCACCTGAAGACACCTGAAGGCACCTGAAGACAGAGCATGAGGAGGTAGAGCGCGGTGAAGAGTGAAAAGGCGACGAGGTTCTTATAATTGTGCAGCTGCGTCTGTGCCTCCACCACTCGCTCGAACAAGGCTGCAAGCGAGCAAAGGGGGGGAGAGGGGAGAGGGGGAAGGGGGGGGTGCGGAAGGTGGCGGAAAGGGAAGGGATGGGGAGCAGGTTTTTGTCGTAGTGCAGCTGTGTCTGTGCCTCCTTATCCATCCTGATGTAGCTTGTATTAAAATCGCTGAGGCGAGTCATAAACAGCAGCTTTTCACACTAAGGCAGTTTAAATGAACTGCATAAGTGACCTCCTGCAGATAAAACCCTCACCAACAGGTGAAAGTGAAACCCTTGTGCAGGTACGTACCTTGAATCACCTCGTCATCCATCCTCTCCACCTCCTCATCATCTAAAAGAGCCACTCCCTCTCCTACTATCCCCTTCATGTTGCTTCCCACTCCTCCTCCCTCTCCTCCGCCTCCTCCTCCTCCCCCTCGTCCTCCGCTTCCTCCTGACCCTCCTTCCCCCCAATCACTCACATCCCCTCCCTCTGCTGCATCTCTCCCCCAACCCCGCCACCAACCCATTGACCCTCCCCATCCCCCCCTTCCTCCAATACTTCTCCCCCCTCTCCCCCAATTCCTGCTCCCCTCATCCATACCCCTTCCCCCATACGCCCCACTCCTACCCCCATTCTCCCCTCCAACGCAAAAATCTGCACTCAACATCCGAAAAAGCTTCCCATTCCGCCTCCTCCCTCCCCCTCCCTCTCCGTCCCCCTCAACCCCTCCTTCCTCTTCTCTCCCCTCACCCCCCTCTCCGCCTATCAGCCCATCCCCCTCACCCATCTCCTCCCCATCCACTTCCTCCACCCGAGCCACACTACTCTTCCTCCTCCCCACTCCCTCATGCCCCTCCTCTCCCTCCTCCAAAGCCCACCGCACACTCAGCTTCCCGCGAGAGGAAGCGGAGGAGGAAGAGCGGCCAGCCTTAACGCTCGGATGCCTGAGGGAGGAGCGTGGGAATGATTGTGGTGTCTTTTGTAGAGTTAGGGTTCCTGCGTTAAGGGCTTTCGTGATTAGCGTTTCTGTGCTTAGGGTATTTGTGATAAGGGTTCCTGTGCCTAGGGTTCCTCCTGACCCTGAGGGCCCTGGATCTGGGGGCCCTGAACCTGGAGGTTCGGAGCGTGGGGTTCCTGTCACTGTTGCCTCTACAGCTGTAGCTAAACCAGGCTCAGATGCATGCCCTGAACGTGCAGCAGACCCGGGTTCGATTCCTGATGCTGACGATTCTGGAAAATCCACGACACCAGCCCCGCCTCCATCCCGATCTACCCCTGGTCCCTCCAACCCTCCGTTAACCATAACTTCAACCAATGAACGACCCTCATGTGATTCTGGTCCCGGAAATCGTGGCTCCCTAGGGAATGCCGATAGTTCCAGAGACCCTGGTCCCTGGTGCCTCAGATTGGCCCCTGTTCCCTCATGAGTATAATTGGGGGAGGCGACATTGCGGGTGTAGCTGTGTTGCTTGGGAAGGCCGCTGCTGCTGCCAGAGCTGCACGCACAGGCGAAGCACACACGCTGTAACTGGTTACACGAATGACAAATGGTGGTTACTGGTTACAGACATATGGTGGTTGCTGGTAACGAGGGTGAGAAGGTGGTTGGGTGACAAGCTCATGCAAAACGAGATAATATCATGCAGACAAACCATTTTTAATGGAATCAGCGTCCTCACCTCGAAGAACGCGCCTGGTGTAGGTTGAGCTGCTCATACGCCTCAAACTTAGCGGGGTCGTCTAATAACGAGGATGACTTCGGAAACGAGCGACCGGCGGAGTAAGCGGACGAGGAGGGATCAAGTAGCGCGCCTGACGGTGACTTTGGAAGCGAACCGGACTTGGGTAACGAGCCGGAGTTAGGCGAAGAGCGCGAGTTCCCTGGGGAATGGCGGTTTATGCTCCCTCTAGGACTCCTGCGACCCAACGCGTCGTTGATGTCGTCGCCAGCGTCGCCGGAATCGCCTGCTGGCTCGTCGTGATGTCGTCGCGATACCACTGCTGCAGCCGCTGCCTCCGCCATCTTTCTTACACAACAGAATAACTTACTCTCTATTGGCACTACCTAAGAGAGCCAAAGAATGGTTGAAACAATGTCAGCTTGACTGTGCAGGGAACCAATCACGAGCGAGGAATCGCCAGCTCACTAGGATGCTATATCTTCATCCTTGATGGCTGACGTTTCAGCTATTCACTACATAATGTAGTAACCCCCATACACTAATGCTGTAGCAGGCGTACTAGTGAATTAAACACCTAGTTTTACTGTTCTGGCTGCAGCGCACGATGTATGGCATGGAATGCCACATGCTTGTTATGGCGTGTGCAAAGTGCCCAAAAACTCGACGTCGAGCAACGTCGGTGAATTTCCACCCTCGGATCAAAGGTTCCAACCGTCAGGATTCACCGACGAACCTCGACCTCGAGTTTGTGCAGCACTTTGTACACGCCTTTAGCAGAACATCAAAAGTTCGGCTGCGATGTCAGAAAGCGACAGTTCTGACCATCAAAGAAGTGTTCGCGGGCCCCGCGAAGAACTTTGGCTGGTAACTCCGTCGTTAGCGACACCGACGTGCGTTGAACTTGCCAATTTCGGTGGGGACGATTCACCGAAGATTCTCTTCGATAATACCCGTTTCGAATAAAAAAATGTTCCCTCGTGTAAGAGGCACAGTAAGTGGACACATGGAACCACCTAAACAAACGACAACAGAGTTCCATTCTGTTGAAATTTCTCGTAGAATTGATTGAAGCATCAAAGGATGTGCCATCGCTTATATCCGAAAGAGTGACATGAATGTACAATTCATAGATGGACTAGAAATGTCAGCTGCTCGCATAATCTTGACCTGCACAATGTCATCAGTGTTGGTGTGAGCAAAATAACTACAGTCACACACACAGTACAGCTCTCAAGGAGAAAACCACTTACATCTAACCGAGTATCAGCAGAAGAGGTCACTCCAAATCCAAACGAGCGAGCCTGAAAGGATGCCGTCAGCTCCACTGCCACTTCACCATTCTGAATATAATGTCATCAGAAACACAGAAAGCACAGGATGACCTTTCTGCAAGAGCAAAAGGGAATGCTGCACGGCACAATTGCTGAGGGCAGGGAATAAGACTGAGAGGCCAATGGGTGCAGTGCAGTACCTTATGCTGCGGGTAAGCAGAGAGCAGCAGCAGACCAACATCGGAAGCAACGGGCCACTGCCTCTTCCTCTCTGTTTCCCCCCGCTGCTGCTGATCATCTAATGCTGCTGACAGAGCTGCCACATGAGCATTGAACCTGGCAATCCCCATCGCTGCAGGGTCAGACTCACCACCTTCCATGGCCGCCTCGCACACGCACCGTGCGAGCTGGCACTCCACGATTGGCTCACCGGCCCCGGACACACTGGCAGCCACAGCAAGCATCTGCGGCTGGTGCTGCTGCTGCTTCTGATCATGCTCTGACTCAGTTTCCACTGCCGCTGCATGGAAATCGCCTCTGACGCTGATCTCTTGAGCAGCCTCTGAGCATGCTGGATCTGCTGCTGATGACTTGGGTAGGTTGGATGCGGTGCTGATGGAGGCATCAGCCCAGCAGGCTGCCCCGTGCATTGCTGCACACCCCACCCTGCCAGGCGCCTGTGTAAGGTGGGAAGGAAAGAGGTGGTGGCATGGAAAGAGAAAGAGGGGGGTGCAAGAACGAAGGGGAAACGGATGGTCGGAGGAATGGGTTTGAAAGGGAGAGGAGCCCAAGCTCACATCCAGCAACGGCGCTCACCTTGAAAGCTATTCCCCCACTAGACGCGGCTGCTGCTGCTCCGCTTGCCACCTCAAAACACACCGCCCCCACTGTGTCCCACGGGCCCTCCTGCTCCTCCTCCTCTTCGTCCTCTCCCTCTCCCTCTTTCTCTCCCTCCTCTCCCTCCTCTTCTCCTTCCTCCTCTCCCTTTCCCACAACCCTTGTCTTTCCCTCTTCCTCTCTCCCTCCCGTCCAATCCACCTCACCTCCCATGCCCTCAATACCTTCAACATCCTCCTCATCACCCTCCCTCGTTGATTTTCCCCATCCCCCATAATCCCTGCGCTCCCTCTTGGCATCTTCCCCCCACGTGCCCATGCTACCCTGCTCCGTCCGCACTTCGTCCAGATCCTCTTCTTTCTCTACTGCCCTGAACGCACGCACGCACTCCTTTCTCCCCTGATGCTGCTCCAGAGCCCCCACGATTCTCCGGTACTTGCGCCACTGGCCTTCTGCTGCTGGCGTCACCAGATCCTGCCATGCCGAGAGAACAAAGGATTCGACACAGTCACTTGTGAGAATTCTCAAAAGTGACTCCAACGGAGTTGGTTGATCCAAAGCCCCCACGAGTCTCCTGCACTTGCGGCACTGGGCTTCTGCTGCTGCTGACACCAGATCCTGCCATGCCATGCCGTCCCGTTGTTGACATGCCACACCAGGTCATGCCATCCCAGGTGCTGAGAAATCCATGATAAGATGGAGCACACGTGCACACTGACTGACGCGCGTGCGCGCGCGCGCGCGCGCACACACACACGCCCTCCTCCCCCACTCTTCCCCACACACACACCTGTGGGTGCCTTGCAACGGCGTATGGCGCATGAGTCTGAGCCCACAGCAGCGCTCCTTCCCCCGCCAACATCCTGACAGCCACGCACATGCAGTGCAGACATGCAGTCATGCAGACGTGCAACCACCCCAGAGACGCATACATGCAGAGGGACACGTGCATTTGCAGCTGAAGGACCCTCGATACATTCATGCGAGTGTGACTAAAACAAAATACTCCTCAACAATCTTCAAGTAAAGATTTTTTTTCTTTTGCTCTGGTATAAAATTAGTACCTCACACGCTGCCCTGCATTCACAAAAACTCTTAACAGGACACTCACACCCACAAAGGCACTCATAATTGCAAACACTGACACTCACAGACACACATGGGAGGGATGCGGCCGAAGGGAAGCGGACCCTTGTGTCTCTGCCTTGCCAGTGCTGCTGCCACTGACACTGGGCTTACTAAACCTGAAGGCGAGAAAAATTCGCATAGAGGGGCATGAGTTAGAAAAGTTTCAGTTCCAAAGAAGAGGCCCTGAGAAGCTACGAAACAAAGACGGCAAAGCACGTCCCATATTTTTTAGGCGCCTCTAAAATCGTCTCATGACTAACGGCAAAGCACGTCCCAGAATCCCTCTAAGTTGATCCGCTGCGAAGGGACCTCTAAGAATCATAGGGAGAAATGTGCGTGAGGGGTAAGAGGAGGGGAAACATTAACCTGGTGCTGCTGCTACCGAGCCGAAAAGCTTTGCTCGGCTGCCCAACATGCTGCCCGAAATGCTTGCATCGCACTCCACCTCGCCTTTTTCGGTCAGATTGGATCCCCGGGCAGCATTGGTGATACTGTGGCTCTGTGGGTTGGGGAGGGGGCAAAGACACATTAGTGATTCTTCAGTGAAAGGAAGAAGGAGAGAGGAGAGGCGGAAGATAGGTGGAGGGAAAAGGAGATGCGGAGGAGAAGTGAAGCAGAGAGGTTGAAGAAAACAAGAACGTAGGCTAAGGACGAGAAGTGTCGCACAGAATCAATGGATAAACACACAAGAAGGTCACACAGATATGTGTAACACTGAAACACGTGAGCGCACCTCTAAACATCTAACGGCTGCCACGACAGCATCTAGAGCCGTACACGTGGACGAACAGCAGCGGTCCAAACCCGAACCCGGCGCAGATGCACGATTCTTCGCGTCTAATCGGCCTGCTTCTCCCGCCCCCGCGCATTCTCCTCGCTGCCCTTCCGCCGATGTTCCGCCAGCTCCGCGCAACACCAGCTCCGCGGCTGCGAGGGCGTCGCGCATGGCGCGCAGATACCGCTGCTCGTAACGCTTGGAGTGGTAACCCGCTCCCACGTGCACGGCTACAACATACCGCCTTCCTGACGTGGAATTCGATTCGTGAGAGTCTTGCTGACGAGGCCGCTTGCTACGGTGGTGCAAGGAGTTGTCTCTGAACGCGGGAGGCTTATCCATCTCTACGTTTTATTGGTGGAAGCATCCGTTTCATGGAACGATATCGTCGTATGGTATTGGCAGTCAATTCTGTGAATCTGCGCACGTATCTCTGTAGAATACAACACATCGGCAACGTTTCTGAAAACTACAGGCGGAGAGAACTCACTTCAGGAGCTGGCTAAGACAAACCCAAGAAAACACTTTCAAGTGTAGCTTTGCAAACTTGATCATCTGTCAAGGATTCGAGAATCTCAAGGCACAAACGCGTATGAATCGAACAAGACCTGTACCGTTTCGTCTCCTAAAGCTGCAGCACAAGAATCATAATATCGGCACGAGCCACACAATACCGAGTACACACCGATGAAATTGCAACACAGCCAACATCACCATTTCGTACCGTTTCGTCTCCTAAACAAGCCACCTGCCGCCAAAGACGCCGCGCTTCTCGCAACCCAGCTCTCCTCTCGTGCACCTCCGCCCCGACCCAATCCCACAACGCGAACTAACTCTTTTAGACCGTACTATCCGCCATGGCGCGACGAGCACTCATCGTCAATACTCTCAAGGCTCACGGAAGCGCGGCGCTTCTCGTGTCTCTAAACCAGGCCACCAGCGTCGCGGCTAAGATGCCACGTCGGCGCAGGTTGTGGATCCCGGACCGGCGATTATTACTATCGCTCGGAATTGTTCTGGAATATTCCAAGGGCTAGAAGATATGCTCATTGGGTTTCCTAACCTCCAAATTTTTTAAGCACCTCCATCGTTCATTGGAGCGCTTGCCCAAAACTCATAATCGCCAACTGTTAACCCGAGAAACTAGTCCGTTATTTATGCTGATGGGAACGCATGCAGCAGTAACAGCGGCGGCAACATGCCGCAATATTGCCATACCAGGGTTGATCTCCCTGATCAATCGGCAATCCCGATGCAACAGAGGACTCTTCGCGCCGTCAGGCTGGCCGTCGCACGCCTACCAGCTTTCGCACCTGCCTGCACGTCAGGTTCTTAGCGGGGATGCGGCGTCCTCCCGTTTCTGCCACCAGAGCAAGCGGCCGGATGCCGTCACATCCATTGCTGGTGCTCCCATTTCCGCCTCAGAACGAGGGGCGGTGAGACGGACCGGCGGTTACGTAGGAGCATTTCTCATTGGGAGTGCAAAGGATCAGTATGCGTGGGTACCAGCGTGGGTATTGGTTGCAGCCCGTTCCACCCGTGGTGATGGTGGTGATGCTGGCGATGCGACTCCTGATGTCTCTGGTGATGGTGGTGGCGGTGGTGGTGGCCATGGTGGTAACCGCCGTGGCGGTGGTGGTGGTCGTGATGGTGGTAGTGAGGAGGAGGAGGAGGGCGATGGAAGCAGCAAGGAACCTTCCAACCCATCTCCTTGGCTCTTCCTCCTCCTAGCAGCAACAGCTGCTACTGCCATCGCCATTCTCTTAAGACCCTCATCCCCTCTCCCCGCTTCTACCCCACCTCCTCCCCCTGCTTCGCGCCCTCCTCCCCCTAATCCCCCCCCTCCTCCCCCTCATCCTTCCCCTCCTCCCCCTAATCCTCCCCATCCATCCCGTTCCCCTCGCTCTCCTCTTCCTCATATAAATGCTGTCCCTCCCAGTAAACCCTTGTTTCCCCACACCGGCGCACCAGGTCCTATACCCTCCTCCGGCAACTCTCATCGTGACCCTGTTTCTCCCCTTTTTCCAAGCCTCACTTTGCCAGTAGTAGTGTTTGCCGTCTCACTGGTGTTTGTTGTACTCTTTAAAAGGTCGCAGCCACATGCAGCAGAAGATCATACCCACACAAACGGCGATATATAGCTGGCAATTACCCTCTTGTGGTAATTACTATGCACAATTCACAAAATGATTTCGAATCTTGCATGCATGCCTGCCTGTAAACACAATCCGTTCTATAATCTATTCACCACACTACCGTACCAGAGCAACTGTAGGGACCTGGAAATATACTTTTATAGAGAACATATAACCTGTATAAAGCATGTCTGTCAACCCAAGAATCAGGCACATTGGGCAGGCAGAAATGAACACAATCGTTGTTCACCCTACCAGAGCCCACTAAGGAGTCTGGGCGGTAGAGAGAGGAGGAAATGGTGTCCAGGAGGCGGATTCGAGCGCCTGCAACTGCGCGCTGTTGTGTGGGCAGCCACCGAGTGTACTGAGGAATCTTATCACAAGTCTAAAGTAGTAGCTGTGTCGTGTCCTAGGGTACATGTCGTGTCCTAGGGTACATATCAATCAACACCCACGAGTCGGGCACACAATCGTTGTTCACTCCGCCAGAGCCCACAAAGGAATCTGGGCGGTAGAGAGCAGGGCCTATTTTTGGATTTTAGGTACTCTGATTTCCAGAGTAGTTTTTTTCCCAACTCTGAAATCTAGGGTTGTTCCTGCGCCTTACCCTGATTTGTCAGAGTAGCCCTAAACTTTCAAAAAAAAACCCAGGCACGTCAGAGTAATATTTTTCTCTACTCTGATGTTAGTTAAGTTTGGTGTACCATGACCTTTGTTACGCCTTTTGTACTTGCATTGTGTTTCATTTCCGCGTCGCCCACGTTTCCCCCCTCACTGCGATGTTTCAGAGTGAGGTGTTGGCAGCACCGATAATTTGATTAAGAGCGTGTCTGAAGTGAAATGTCGACGGATGTACAGTTTTGTCGGGGAATGCTGGCGAATCTCAACCCTCGGATTGAGCGTTCCGACCGTCAGGATTCCTCGACGTCCCTCAAAGTTTCGTCGGGAAACGTCGACGTTCACTTCATACATAAAGAGAGGGGACTGGCTGGCATCGTGCGCTGATTGGGAAAGTTGTCAAACTACGGTAGCCAATCAGCGCTCATATTGCCGCCAAAACACGACAGGAATCAGGAGAGTGATCTCGACGATTCGGGGAAAACCCGCCAAACGCAGGGGGGGGTGGGGAGGGGGGACCGGCAGGTATTCCCTATACATAGTAAATTCGGTCCCCGAAAAGAAAACCCATGGGCCTCAGAGTGGACTACAACGTAGCTCTGACGGGTTAGAGAAATCGGAAGTCCCAAAAAATTACCCAGCGGGTACAGAGCAGGGCCTATTTTTGGATTTTAGGTACTCTGATTTCCATAGTAGTTTTTTTCCCAACTCTGAAATCTAGGGTTGTTCCTGCGCCTTACCCTGATTTGTCAGAGTAGCCCTATACTTAAAAAAAAAAAACACCGGCACGTCAGAGTAATATTTTTCTCTACTCTGATGTTAGTTAAGTTTGGTGCACCATGACCTTTGTTACGCCTTTTGTACTTGCATTGTGTTTCATTTCCGCGTCGCCCACGTTTCCCCCCTCATTGCAATGTTTCAGAGTGAGGTGTTGGCAGCACCGATAATCTGATTAAGAGCGTGTCTGAAGTGAAATGTCGACGGATGTACAGTTTTGTCGGGGAATGCTGGCGAATCTCAACCCTCGGATTGAGCGTTCCGACCGTCAGGATTCCTCGACGTCCCTCAAAGTTTCGTCGGGAAACGTCGACGTTCACTTCAGACATAAAGAGAGAGGGGACTGGCTGGCATCGTGCGCTGATTGGGAAAGTTGTCAAATTACGGTAGCCAATCAGCGCTCATATTGCCGCCAACACACGACAGGAATCAGGAGAGTGATCTCGACGATTCGGGGAAAACCCGCCAAACGCAGGGGGGGCTGGGGAGGGGGGGCCGGTGTCAGAATGAGAACTACAGCGGAATGCGTTGTATTGACAGAATTGGGGTACATAACCTAACCCTAACTAGTTGTACCCCATATAGCCCAACCCACTACAGGCTATAATATTTGACACACCCCCATAGCCTAAGTGGGGAAGGCGAATCAACAACAAGCAACCTACGGTCACAAGATCAGTCAAAAACAAGAGAAAGAAAACAAAGCTCAGGGTGGATCACAACGTCACCACCTAATCTGAGCACAAGCAAAGGGCCACAAGGCCAGTCCAAAAGTGTGCAAACAAATATATATATAGGGTACAAGCAAGCAACAGACAAAGAGCACCCTACAACAGTCAACTAGACCCAGTCTCAACGAGGCCTAACTGCAGACAAAACCGACGGTGGTCACAAGGCTGGAGGGCCTTGGTGAAGATGTCTGCAGTGTTGGCCTCGGAGGCCACAAAGTCCAGACGAGCCTGTCCGCGTCTCTGCAACTCTCGAAGGAGGAAGTACCTGACGTCGATGTGCTTCACTCTGCTCTCCAGTCGAGGCTCACGACACAGGAGAATCATCGCCCAGTTGTCAGCAAACAGGGTCGGTGCAGAGCTCGGCCGCTCACCAAGGTCAGTGAGCAAAAAGGTCAACCAGAGAAGCTCCTGAGCAGCAAGGGCCCCAGCGTAGATCTCGGCCTCTGCGGTAGAAGTCGCAACAGAGGAGGACCGAGTAGACCTCCACGAAACAGCTCCAGAACCCAGGCTGAAACAGTAACCCTGCGTAGACCTCTGAGTCTCAACGTCGTCAGCGTAGGAAGAGTCATAGTGACCGGTGAGTACAACTGGCTGTGTCCCTCCAAGTACAAGCCCCATGCCTGATGTCGCGCCAAGGTACTTCGCCACCCTCTTAGCCGCCGCCCAGTGAACAGGACGGTGTCTCCCAGTCGCAACAAAGCGAGACAGGATGCTAAGGGGGAAGGCGAGGTCCGGGCGAGTGCACGTCATCAGGTACATGAGGCAGCCCACCAGCTCTGCGTAGGGACCACTGGGCTCGAACGGCTCATCAGGAAAAGGCCCAGTGAGTCTGTGGTCTACAGCAAGAGGAGTGGGGGCAGGAGAAGAGTCCTGAAGCCCGAACCGCTGAAGAACCTGCTGCACCATGTGTGACTGAGTGAGAGTGATGGTGCGAGCGGCTCTGTCCCTGGAGATCTGCAGGCCAAGGTAGCGGCGCAGTTCCCCAAGGTCAGTGCAGGTGTGTCTCTTCTGCAGTTCGGACTTCACCTCCGCCAGTGCAGCTGTGTCGGCCGTGGCAAAAACCAAGTCGTCAACGTAGACT